ACTGTAGTAGTTTTATGCAAATCCATGTTCAATGCCACCCGATCTGAAGGTCACAAGTTCAATTCCGGGCAGTGACTCTCGGCTGGTTGACACTTGAACAAACTTGTTTTGCTAATAACAACGTGAAAATTGAATCTGACGCGAGGTGTTTTGTAGAACCTTCCAGGCAACTCTGGAGTTCGCATGTTTGGAAATTACAACTTTGTTCGTTTTCTTTATTCCTTATTTTCAATTTTTGTTACGCTATTGTCCACTGGATATGGGTCGTGAAAGATTTGAGAGGTATTGGTGAGAAAACTGAATGATTTTTATTGCTTGTTGATTTAAAATTATCATTTCAGTTACTCCAAAAAAAAAATGTCGAGAGTAAATTTTACATAATTTTTTCTGTCGTTCTTTGTAAAATAAAAATATCCACAGAAACTTAGGTCTTCATAACATTATCATACCTGCTACGGACCTTATTGAAAGATGTTTTAAAATGTTTTAAGCCTAATAAATCTTTAAAAATTCATAGTTCTGTCTCAACTTTTGCTTTGTAATTAAGTTTCGGAGATTGTAGATAGGATTAATTTTTAAACCCCTCGTTAGTATAATTTCAATATGTTTTATGTTGGGATCTCTATGCATCTTTAAGAAAATGACTGTTTAAGTGAATTGTAGATAACGTTTATCCAGACAAACTAATTAAAAAATGTTTTAAGTTATGTATGATTTGAAAATTACGTTACAACATTTAGTTTATGTGTATGTAACTATAGGTTAGAAGTCGCATCATAATATACCGACCTTCCAATGTTGAAGATTAATCAAATGCGTGTGGATGCCTCCCGTAGACGAGTCTGAACAATAACTTTCTCTTGTTCAATTATTGAAAGGCTTTTTACGGACCGCTCTCAATCGCTTAGCTTCTATGAACTTGATGACAAATTAAAGTGCGGATAGGCTCATATGCATTTAAAATGTCAATACCCATTCATTATTTGTTCGTTATTTTTCACTTCGTTCGTTCACTTTTACCATAATTATTGTCAACCTTATTTAGAAAAAGTTTGGGTTTGCAATGGATACACATTTCTCTGTCAAATGTCCGTGGCTACCTTAGGCCTATTTGGTTAAATTTGAATATGTTTAAAGAACCTCCGTAAAAGTATCATATGGTACCAACCAACATTTTACGAAAACGTATTATGATCTATATTACTAAAAGAATTTGTTGGGTTTTTGTGTGCTGGCAGCAAATTGGCCCCTAAATATTTATTTTTATAGGCATATTGGGTATCAATTAAAAGATCTTATTCTCTATGTGCCTTTTGCTGGTTTGGATGATATCCCGTGAAAGCCCTTCGTCCGATAGGCTTTTAAAATTTCAGAGTTTGTGCTGAAAAGAAAATAACTTGCTTTGGATTTTGTGATTTGATATTTGTTTAAAATGTAAAGAATAAAATGACGTTAGATTTTGTGTTTTCATAGTACGGTATGTTTAATTATTATTTGTATTTTTTCTAAGATGCCTGGAAGAGATCGCGCACTCAATAAAAATAATAGGGATATAATGAGAAATAATCGTTTTCACCCTTATCAATTGCCCTTAACCATGGACAATTCAGTAAATTCCACTCTTTTTAAACTTGGAATAATGAATGAAGTATGTAGTTTTTATGATGCTTTATATTTTAGACGTGTTTACTTTTTATATATGATTTTTATTTATTTTATTGGAAAAACCAATTAGAAAGCAATGTTCAGGGTTCGCTTGAAAAAAAAAATACAAGACAGTGATATAAGTTAATAATTAATACGTAAGACAATAGATAATTTTCATCTTAACTCAGAGCAGTAAATTTGTAAATTAATTAAAATATCGCGAATTTGAAGTCACGAAGTGACGCTGGCTACTAGTTATAATAACATAAATGTATAATAACAAAAACTAACTGTTCCGATAAGAACCACGAGGCGGTCTCGAATTTCCACCGAAGGTCAAACAGTATTAATATGCACGCACACCACACCCTTCAAACTAGCTGGGGTAGTTTTACAACAGTGTTTAGTTTTACCTAAAACTTTAATATTTAATATTTTGTTCTACGTGGATCGTTAAGGGAAAGTTTCAATATATAGACACATTTTTACTCCGGCTTTTATTTAACGCTAGAGTTAACTGTTTACGTGTTTACCTATTATTTATGAATGAATGGCATCCGTCAAATCATTTGATTGTTTTATCTGTTATTTAGTAATTAAATCCGATTAAGTTTCGAATTGACGTTGACTTGACAGAGCTATGTTCAACGTATTCGAGATCTCCCTTGTAGACAGTATGAGTGAGAGAGAGACAGTAGACTAACAGTGACCACAACAAGACTATCAGCGGCCGGTTGACCTTGACGTTATCGCTGTCCATGTCAGCTGGCCAGTCTACGTCACAGATCACTGAACAAAGACTGACCCTCACTGCATCTTTCTCTCTCACTCCTTAAAGGCCTTTTCACACCGGCGTACTGGACGTACTGTACGTTTGGTACGGCCAGTTCGTACAGTACGCGGTCTTTTCACACCGCACAGAAACTTCCAAAACGTACACTTGTTCGTTTGCAGTCAGACAAGTACGGTACCTAACACTGGCTGAGCACGTGGTTTTGGTGTGACCACTGCGCATGCGCGAGCTCGCGTACGCCTCGTACGATTTAGAAAAATCGCTCTCCGAGCGATTCTCACAAAACCATCGCGTACGTACTGTACGTACAGTACGTTCTGTACGCGCGGTGTGAACGAGCCCATATGATAACATGGACAGCGATTTGTTGAAAAAAAACGTACCAAACGTACAGTACGTCCAGTACGCCGGTGTGAAAAGGCCTTAAGACTTATTTCCCTCTGATTTGCAGTAGGCCTACTTATTTTTTCCTTAAACCAGACAAGTCGTTATAAAATCTACTTTTGGCTGTTTCTAGTTTTGAATAACAAAATTGTTGGAATTGCAATTATTTCCAGCACATTCATTTAGTTTTTCCTATTAATTAGTATTTGTTGTCTCCGACATTAATTTTTTTATTTTAAATTGTTCAACAAGCATGAGTTTTTTTTTTACCTGAAGAACCATTTTGTATAACTTGATACTTTAAATGAGCCCAAACTTCCAAATTATTGCTTTTTTGGTTTAAAGTGTCTCAAATTAATGGATAATTCTTTGTTTAAAGTTCATTGTTGGTGATGGTGAGTTAATGTTGTTCAAAGGTTTATTGCGGACATTTTCCATCACGAATGTAAAAAACAATACACACCATTTCGGGATCTGGAATCTGATCCCGTCCTCAGGTGAAAAAAAAACTTAACTAACACTAACACATTACAACTAACAATACACAAAAACCCAACCTAAGTTGGAATACACTACAGAGGGTAGCAGTCAAAAATAGTTTAAGTTTTTTTCACATGAGAACGGGATCAGATTCCAGATCCCGAAACGTTGTGTATTGTTTTTTACATTCGTGATGGAAAATGTCCGCAATAAACCTTTGAACAACATTAATGGGTAATGTAATGATGGATTTTGAAAAAATATTACAATTCGTTTTAATGTACAACTTAATTAGGCCTACTGACTGTACTGTATTATTAATTTGACTCCAAAACAATGAAATTTCTTCTAAAAAATACTTAGCTAACTATTTCTGAAAATTAATTTATTCTTTCTTTTTATTATTGAATATAAGAAATACATGTGTATGCCTATGTAATAAGAAAACAAATTCTATCAGCCATTCAATTAGTTTTTTTTTATGTATGTTTTAATTTTTAATCATATATTTAGCATTTAATAGACTGTATTTACATTTTTTTCAAGTATCATATTTTAAAGCTATTTGCCATTTGTATTTTTAGTTTGTATTTACTAAATATTTTCCATACAAAGGAACTTGTTCAGGACTGTTATGATTCAAGTAAATCAATTGAACTGAACAGTTTAGTTACATAAGAAAGTCTATGGTGAAGGGGGGAATATTAACAGGACAAAGATCAAATATTTAAATCAAACACTGCTTGTTATGTAAATCCCAGGTCACAGTTCAAATAAAATTATTAATATAGGCTATAGATTCTACTTACAAGACTCAACCCTATAAAAAATTTAGTGCAACGGTATCAGTATTTCTTAAAAGCTGAAGTGAAACGTGGGATAAATGACATTATTATAGGACTTAAATGGCTATTAAAGACTGTAGTGTAGTGTACTAGTGTAAGTGTGCTATGAGTGGAGCCATGGGGATCATCATTGGCACTTGTGTGCCAGACGAGCCAGAACCTGTCGACGTGTCTGTCGTCAGACTGCGGAGGGTTATATACGGTAGGTATAATCGTTGATCACAGAATGTATGCAAATTTGGGCTATGGTCTATTTTACTCCTAGAGTCCATAAAATCAAAGCCGACAAACCAATTAACAATATCCCACAATTGTATTCTTCCTCTATATCCACTGCAACAGTTTGAACATAATACATAGATCAAGGTTCATTCAGCCGAACCGACAATGGTTCATTTAGTTTTGTTTGTTTGTTGTGATGTGCCAACTCTAAATAGTTTATAAGTGTTATGGGCTCAGCGGAAAGGTAAGGTTAAAGTGTAATGGGGCATCTGTGGAAAGGTCTCGGTTGAAATAAATTGATAGATACTTATTTTTATCAGGTATTACCTTCTTATCAGGTTTCGATTTTATAATTATTTGTGTAAGGCCAATGGTCAACAATTTTTGTGGTTTTGTGTATGTTAGATTTTTATAAACTAAACCAATTGATGATATTGGATGAGTAGAATCTGTAAGAGAGAAATTTCCGTCTGTTCGGTTCTTTTAAATATTCCATGGAAGTCCAAGTTATAAACTAGTTTGAAATCAAATAGTTGCATCATCCTGGTACCTAAATCATTTACTTTGTTTTATTACCTACCACACTGTAAGTCTTGTAGGTCCATTGACCATTGTTTGTTTGGTTGCAGGAATCAAGTGCCCGGTCTGCTCCAAGTTTGTGTTGCCAGACGACATAGAATGTCACCTTGTAATGTGCCTAACCAAGCCTAGACTGATATATAATGGTGAGTATCATCTTCTGTCATCATCAAATTCAAATTACATTACTGAGTAGAGCTGGTTTGTTATTAGAGTGTGAGGCTTCCGCCCTGGATACGCAGGTTAAAATTGTACCAAACATCAATTGAGGTTTGCCAATTGTGAATAGGTGAAATACAACAATTGTGAATATTATTGAAATAGGCGTGACCTGGTTATTCGGAACCAATGATTACATAATTTGGAGCACGCCTTAAGCTAATATAAAAACCACTCCTGCTGCAGGAAACCTGCAAACTAAGAGAATCGGACAGTTTTTACTTGAGTTATCGTGCTAACTGACACGTTCCATTTGCATTCATAATTATGTACATTTAAATTTGAACCGATGGTGTTGTCGGCCTTTAGGGGCATCAAAACAAAAAAGTAAATCCGGCCTGAGTTCAGATTTTACTATAAGATCTGCACCTATTGGGGTTGATAATAGCTTACTCCTTAAATGGAAAATTTGCTTAATGAGATAGGTCTCTTGGGCCAGGAAACCGGATTCTTTATTGGAAAATCCTTCACAAAATAAATGCTATTAAAACTCTATATGTACAGTATTAAAGATGATTCCTGGAAGTTCGTAGTAGACTGATTATCGCTAATAAAAAATTAACAGACTATACATATTAGGTATCGCTTGTAAAAGCGCAATGTTGATTAGTCTAAATATCAACATATTCCGGTACTGTTAGACATGTAAATTGGATGCCCAAGTATTTTAGGTGGCAAATCGTTGTAGTGATGATTCAGTTCTATAGCCTACTAAAATAGGTAACTGAAATGTATGCATTTCAATTTATTTTTATTTGAAGTTTGAAGTTGTACTTAACTGAGATTTAATGTTTGAGGAACCAGTTAGAAACTCACCAATTCCCTCTCTAAGGTTTCCAGCTACCCGAAAACCTAGAATTTTTGTTATCTTAGACACATGGATGTTGATGACCAATATTGTTTTTCATAAACGGCATTCCGTTTATTCTCTTTTGGTGTTGTTTCAATCAAGATGTGATTGTGTTAGATGATTATGGTTGTCATAATTTCTGATTACTTTAGAATGTTCTACTCAAAGATTATTAAAATACTCAAGTTGTACATAACAGATCGATATAATCAACATTTAATGTAAATAATGTTTTCTCATAGCCGCATTAGGTTTCCAGACACATTATGTTTCCAAAAGCCTACAACTCCCTTCCCCATACCGCCCAGAGGAAAATATAATGAAACCGCTGATCTTAGTCAGTAACAAAGCCACACAGATCATCTCACAACATTCTACACTCATCCTTCACTCATATTTGGGTTAAAATACGCACCTAGGTTGCGTCCCCATCTCAATGATTGATTGATTGATAATTGAGCAATAGGGATCATTGAGATTCGCCCTAACCTTTCCTCTCCCCTTCATGGGCAAGTTTTCATTCCTTGGTTATCTACTTCTGTTTGTTACAGAGGATGTGCTGAGTGATGACAAGGGCGAGTGTGTGATCTGCCTGGAGGAGTTGACACAAGGGGACACCATCGCCAGGCTACCGTGTCTCTGTATCTACCACAAGAGGTAACTACCACTTAGCACTGGTCTAGGGGTTAGACTATTGCGGAGACCTATTTTCAAGTTTGGCCAACAATTGATGGGTTTTGTCTATTTGATAATGGCATGAACTAGTGACTCTGATATCACATTAGGTTGTTGGTTATCACTACTGTAACTGTAAAAGAAATAAAATAAAGCTACAGGGTGTGTTAAGTAAGTTTCAAGACTGGTCTCAGTAAAAGAAAAAGTAAACATTTTAAAATCTTCAAAATAGTTTCCTTCTTAGTCAACCCACTACTTCCATCGAGTTTTCTACTGTTGGAAGATGATTTCCTGGAACTCACCTATTGGAATGATGTTCAGAATCTTCGTCGAAGCCGTTTGAAGTGCTGCCACGGCGCTTTCAAGTCTTTCTTCAAACAAGAAAATAAAAGAAGTCATTGGGGGCGAGGTCCGAGCTGTAAGGTGGCTGCAGAAGCGTTGTTACATTGTTTTGGGCAAAAATCTGGGTGTGACTGTGCACTGCCACGTGCCACTGCTTCTGATAATCTATGAGCACTTTCAGTACAAGTTTGACACTGACCTTCTTCATCATCAAATCTTCATAAACCATCTGAAACACTAAACCGTAACCGTAGTTTAATTCATTCCATCTGCGATGAGTCTAATGCAGTAAGTGGTGGTCATTTTTTAAAACTTCCTCGTTTTTATCAGATTTTCTTGGCTCTGCAACGTTGCAGGCTTTCCAGCATGATCATCGTCTTTGTGACCATCTTTGAAACACTTGAAGCCTGTTCAAGCAACTAAAGCGTTTCCATGGTGTTCTTGAATTTGATGGAATAAGGCTGCTCCTCCTCATGCTTAATTTCCATTCTCAAGATGTTTCAACGTATTCACAAAACACATCTCTAACTTTGAGCGTGATGCTTTCACTCTAACGTCTCTCAGGCAACCGAAGAGGGTTTGATTTCTTACCTGAGACCCCCTCCACCCAGCCAGGGCCACGTAACCGATCTGGTGCTCCTATACAGGAGAAATAATCAGTCACAAAACTTAATTAATTAACACTCTTTATTTTGTTTTTGGTTATATCAGAACAAATTATTTTTAATCCAGAGGCCTACAATATCTTTTAAAATTTATATATGTTTCCTTTTTTTCACTCATAACGTTATTTAACTTTATGAAGCTGGTTGTGATGTCACAGTGTTTCTTTTGTGTTTCAGTTGCATCGACAGATGGTTCGAGGGGAACTGCTCCTGTCCTGAGCATCCCGGAGACTAACACACAATGTTAGCTGGTTGTGATGTCACAGTGTTTCTTTTGTGTTTCAGTTGCATCAACAGATGGTTCGAGGGGAACTGCTCCTGTCCTGAGCATCCCGGAGACTAACACACAATGTTAGCTGGTTGTGATGTCACAGTGTTTCTTTTGTGTTTCAGTTGCATCAACAGATGGTTCAAGGGGGACTGCTCCTGTCCTGAGCATCCTGGAGACTAACACACAATGTTAGTTGGTTGTGATGTCACAGTGTTTCTTTCATGTTTCAGTTGCATCGATAGATGGTTCGAGGGGAACTGCTCCTGTCCTGAGCATCCTGGAGACTAACACACAATGTTAGCTGGTTGTGATGTCACAGTGTTTCTTTTGTGTTTCAGTTGCATCAACAGATGGTTCAAGGGGGACTGCTCCTGTCCTGAGCATCCTGGAGACTAACACACAATGTTAGTTGGTTGTGATGTCACAGTGTTTCTTTAGTGTTTCAGTTCCATCGACAGATGGTTCGAGGGGAACTGCTCCTGTCCTGAGCATCCTGGAGACTAACACACAATGTTAGTTGGTTGTGATGTCACAGTGTTTCTTTAGTGTTTCAGTTCCATCGACAGATGGTTCGAGGGGAACTGCTCCTGTCCTGAGCATCCTGGAGACTAACACACAATGTTAGCTGGTTGTGATGTCACAGTGTTTCTTTTGTGTTTCAGTTGCATCAACAGATGGTTCGAGGGGAACTGCTCCTATCCTGAGCATCCTGAAGACTAACACACAATGTTAGTTGGTTGTGATGTCACAGTGTTTCTTTTGTGTTTCAGTTCCATCGACAGATGGTTCGAGGGGAACTGCTCCTGTCCTGAGCATCCTGGAGAATAACACACAATGTTAGCTGGTTGTGATGTCACAGTGTTTCTTTTGTGTTTCAGTTGCATCGACAGACGGTTTGAGGAGAACTGCTCCTGTCCTGAGCATCCTGGAGACTAACACACAATGTTAGTTGGTTGTGATGTCACAGTGTTTCTTTAGTGTTTCAGTTCCATCGACAGATGGTTCGAGGGGAACTGCTCCTGTCCTGAGCATCCTGGAGACTAACACACAATGTTAGTTGGTTGTGATGTCACAGTGTTTCTTTTGTGTTTCAGTTCCATCGACAGATGGTTCGAGGGGAACTGCTCCTGTCCTGAGCATCCTGGAGACTAACACACAATGTTAGCTGGTTGTGATGTCACAGTGTTTCTTTTGTGTTTCAGTTGCATCGACAGACGGTTTGAGGAGAACTGCTCCTGTCCTGAGCATCCTGGAGACTAACACACAATGTTAGCTGGTTGTGATGTCACAGTGTTTCTTTTGTGTTTGTTTCAGTTGCATCGACAGACGGTTCGAAATGAACCACTCCTGCCCTGAGCATCCTGTGGACTAACCCACAATGTTAGTTGGTTGTGATGTCACAGTGTTTCTTTTGTGTTTCAGTTGCATCGACAGATGGTTTGAGGTGAACCGCTCCTGTCCTGAGCACCCTGGAGACTAACACACAATGTTAGTTGGTTGTGATATCACAGTGTTTCTTTATGTTTCAGTTGCATCGACAGATGGTTCGAGGTGAACCGCTCCTGTCCTGAGCACCCTGGGGACTAACCCACAATGTTAGTTGGTTGTGATGTCACAGTGTTTCTTTTGTGTTTCAGTTGCATTGACAGATGGTTCGAGGGGAACTGCTCCTGTCCTGAGCACCCTGGGGACTAACCCACAATGTTAGTTGGTTGTGATATCACAGTGTTTCTTTATGTTTCAGTTGCATCGACAGATGGTTCGAGGTGAACCGCTCCTGCCCTGAGCACCCCGGGGACTAACACGCCGCCACACATGACCACTTCACACACAGTGTTTGTGTTTCGTTGCGCTGTACCAAAGAATATTTTGCAATAATGTCTCTCCTAGGTTTAGCTTTGGTCGATTGTACACACAAGGTTCAGATGACATTGAGCCGTTGTTTTAAAAATAAAACTTGTTGTGTTTGCACGTTATTGTGATGCTGTCGAGCCGGTTATCGTTTGTTTTTGGCAGCTTCATCGCAAAGTTATTGTAAATAAGTGTAATGAGGTGAGTTAGTTTGGTATGGACAGTGAAAAACAAATCCTAGTGAGTTAAATTTTCTATGTTGATTTATGTACATTGTTACGTATTTTCCAAGAATAAAGTAACCAAGATTTTTACACAATGTCGAAATACCTTTTATACAAAACGATAGTTTTTCGATATAACTGTGTGGCCTATAAAGACTCAATCAATATGTTCGAGAAATTTTTGTTTCTGTCCAGTTTTATGTGATGACGCTAGGGATGAAGTAGGTGCTTCAATTACGTGGTCCAGTACCTTTTTATCTTTATTTTATCCTAAATACATCCGCATTAGTAATCATTTGGGCATTTTTTATCACAGTTAAAATTAATTTTTCCTAACCGTACATATTTTAGAAAATATTCTCGCATAAAATGATTTTTCTCAGACCACAAACATGAAAATAAACATAACACATGAGTGTCTTATTAACTTGAATAATGTCTATACTAAATATACTTAGATTGTTTTATTGTTTCAACAAAGATGTACTTTAATGCCAAAATATAATTATCAAATAGAACTATTAATTCTGTAGACAAAAGCATTATAATCTTAGGTTATTTTGGGATGATGAAGGGTGGCCTGTTTTTTCCAGTGTTTTCTATACATCTTGTGGTCAATATTCTTTATTTTTTCTATTTTCTTGTCAATATTCTTGGCAGGTACTCGAATAATGCCTTCTGCTGGATGGGAGGCATTTAGACATTTTATTACTCAGTCATTTTTATTCAGTACGTGAACCTACCGAAACGGTCAGGTGTAAAAGTTAGGTATAAATTCACATAAAAGGACATTTCATCTGGGTATTCCAAGCTGAACAACATTAGGGTTTCCTATATTATTTTTTATATAGATTGTGGCACACAGAGTCTTACAGTTTGATAGGAAATGCTAGCATTTTTGTAATGCCTAATGCCCGTATAGAATGACCACAAGATTCCAACATTCATAAATAAGGCCAGCTCTGATATTTAACTGCAAAAATAGATATCGATAAAAAACTGATATCATTGTAAAGTTGCGTAACTATTTTGTGTTTACTGTTAAAAGTTACTATTGCTTAAACCTTATTTTTCTTCTTGTACGTAATGTATTCCTAATGATGAATCGTTTAAAAAAGTTATTTTTACAATCAAAATTATCTTTATAAAAATATTAGCCACAGCATATTATAATCATCGAAATCCATAATCTTTAGGTAAATAAATATTTTTTGTTTTATGATTATTGTATTGATCTCGTAACGGTTGTAAAAGTTTAGTTTATACATCACTTTTCCTATTGTATTCATTATAAAAAACATTTTGGATTATTATGGTTGATTCTTAGGTCTTTCTTCAAGCAGCTATTTTGTGTACTATTACAAAATTGTATAACATCCAAATTATCTTTATTACGACTTGAAAAAAATATAGTTTTACTTTTTATACTATATTTTTAACTAAAAATTAAGAGTCAACTGAAGTATATAGTGATGTGATTAACAATATTATTAACATATTGAATAACCTTATTTGACACATGTGCAAATCTAGTGCATATTATTATGATATATTTGTAGATTAAGTTTATTATTTATTTGCTAATTTTGGGAGAAGGCACATCTTAAAAAAGGTTCTTGTTTATCGTGCATTCAAGCTATTGATGTTTCCCGATTTTCTATAAATAAACTTACTAAGCATTTTATAAAATGTGATGTGTGATATTGTCATTTTGAGGTTCAATTACTGCTCAGCAATTCAAGATTGTTGTTGCAACTGATTCTTTGTTTGTTCAATTCAACATTTATTTGATTATCATTTTAGGCTAGCGCAAAGAAAGATTTTGCAGGTACCTAAGAACTGATTCTTTTTTAACATCACAAAAACATCATTATAAAACGAAACTACATTTAAGCGATCCTAGAAATCTCTACAGAAACCTTGAGAAAGTGTAGCAAGGTGCGAAACATTAAACTGTTTTTTTAACTTTTGTAGTTAAAAAAAGATACACAAAAAATTCTATAAGAAAATATGATTTACATTGATTTTATATTGAATTAATGAAAGCAATAATTATTGAAAGCATCTAAAGTTATCGAAAAGAAAGCAACAGCATTTTTTGAACAAAACTCTATGTTTTACCTGTAGTATAGTGAATGTTTCTGTATAGTTTATTATAGGCGCCACTGTACTTTATTACCAAAACTCATACACTCTATTCTATGGCTTTTTTAAATTTTTAGTTAGAAATTCTTTTAAGCAGGGATAAACTTCAGCTAGCTTTTCTGAAGAACTAAAGTGTGAGGTACACAATTAAATGTGACAAAACATAACACTGGTATTTAGTTCTAATATGACTTCTTCAGAGATTAGGTTTAATCCATCTGCTCTCTTAAGAAATTCTTCATAAAGTGATCCGAATATTAGTGTTATATTTGTAACCTGTTATTGTGTCTATATTAGCTTTAACTCTAACTAGGCAACCTAGCAAAATTCTGTCCTGCCAAAAATCCGTAACAGCCCCTTTGGCTTTTCTTAAAACATTTTCATTTAGTTTCCCAATAGCCTCTTTCTCACAAATATCCATTATCCAATCATTTTCTTATTTTCCAAATCTATCTAAAATATTACTTGATATCTCAAATGACAATATGAGCTGTGCGGCTGTGAGATAGATGTGCCTTCTGCCAGTTATGTTCGGTTAGTCAGACTGCACATATCGAGATGTCGAAGGTGCCATGGCGGAGATGTGATTTAGTCATAAGCAATCAGCGGCGCCACTGTACATATGAATATTGTTTTTATCTTAGTTTGTAGCAACATTAATGAATAAACGTAACTGATGTGTTGGACATGTTTTTATTTGCTCCTTTCTTGCTAGAGTTTGGATACTACGTGGCATCATTTGTGTAGTTTTGCAGACTGTTTCAGACGTAGATTAATTCAGCCTCACACACTACAGTAGACTCCCTCTTATCCGGACATCGGTTTAACCAGATTAAACTCGGCGGAAATGACATCTCTTTAACCGGATGGTTTTTATCAGCACATTGGTTTAACGGGACTAGATCGGCAGGAACTGAAACGACTGTTCTTGTGGGAAAGATTTGAGACCAGTGATCACTTGTCTAAAATACAATGCTCTCCTATAATTTAAGTCGAATATCACAGTAAATGGTCCGTTTTAACAAGTTTTTTGGGACGTCAGTTTAACCGGAAAAACCGTTATCCGGACTGGCCTCGGTCCCAAGGAATCCAGATAAGAGGGAGCCTACTGTACTATGTCACAGAAACTAAAGTAGAAAATCAAATTTTGTACTATAGCGCTTTGCGAGTAGTTCACTTAACTATTCTCATTTAGAAAATAAAAATTGGCTGGTTAATGGGAAGTTTACTGCAGGAGCCAAAAGTCCTCAGAACCTTAGTGTTAAGTTAAGCATACTAGCCGACCAAAAAGCACTAAGACAACACTCAGAATATCCTTTACCCTTCAATAATATGGGGTTATATTGTTAACCAACACGCAAATTCCTCCCAAAAACTCTTTAAAAAAAAATTTGTTTCATCTGACTCCAATTAAACTTCCAGTTACAATAAAAACTCCTGTACCATACCAGTCCAAAACAAATTGAGGGAGCCCATTGTAACCGAGGTTTGTGTAACAATATTGTGTAAAAAAAATATAAATTTTTAAAAAGCTTTCTCCCAACAGCAGTTGTCCATGTCCACCCCTGGAGGTAACGACACAGGTTTTTTAACTAGAACTTCATTTAAAACTACTAAAATCTAAATTCTATTCTATCAAACACGTACCCTAATTCCTCAAAATCAAGTGGACAATTTAAGCTACTATAAGGAAAGTATATGTAGAAAAAATTATAGTGGGTAATGGTTCGTAGTTCATTGTTTCATACTTTTTTGAAATACCAAAATGAGGAAATATTACATATGTTCAAAATAACAAAAACTAACACTCATTGTCAGATAGTGGAAGTTATTTTGTTTGCTTTTCCTTTTAACTCTACCATTGTTTCTTGTTCTGTCACACTCAAACGGTTTCTATAAGTTTCATAATAGTGGAATAGGTAAGTGAGGGGTTTTTACTCGGTTTTTTTGGGAATTTTCTAGTCGGTGATCTCTACTCAGCAGCATATGTGTTACTTTAATATTGATAGAACTCATTACTGAAATATACTTTAAAATTCTACCTATAGTACTTTTGGACAGCTTCCATCGTAACTTACTTCCCAAAAGTTGTCATTGACTACAATACACTTTTCTAGTGATCATCTATTATGCAACAGTTATTACAACCTTGTGTTGTCCTTATTGGAAATAAATACCATTTTAGATAAAAACTGCTGCCATCAGCTTGAGGTTTATTTTTGTGTCTGCAAATTGAAGTTATTGATTTGCAGGTTATAAACAGTGAACTTATCTTAAATTTTCTGCCTTGAAAAATAAAATTGAGATACCTTGTAGTTTATTGAAGCGTATAAGGAATAAGGCAATGGTGAATAGCTATACAGTCATGTAATAACCTCAGAGGTATTCTACATGTGAGTGCCAATAGCAAAAATAATAGTCTGACATTTTGCTTCTGTGATTTAGGCCCTGTACACATGAGGGCGGCAGCCGCCGCGGTTGCTATTTCGCGGGAACCGCGGCGGTTGAAAGTACAAAGGAGCAAATGGGACCGTTCACATGCAACCGCCCACTTCCAGTCAACCGCAACTAACCGCGGCGGTCGTAGATTTCCCTTCGACCGCCGCGGCTCCCGTGCGGTTGAAGTTACTAGAGTTGGCATGAGAGCGTACACATGAGGGCGGTAGCCGCCGCGGTTGACTGCAGTTGCTACTATAGAATCATAGACATCTGCGCGCTTGCCCTGTGGACATCGCTCTCTGTGTTGGTGAAGTGTGTAGCTGTGGCTGGAGTTGATGTAGTGCTCGTAGTGTAAGTTTAAATGGCCATGCATGCTGCTGTGGAACCAGAACACTTTGACACTGATCTGTTCATTACAGAAATACAAAAAGAAGATACGTTTAGGACATAAACTAAAAAAGATTGCGTAGCAAGAGTTAGTTGAGTTTTTTGCTGAAAAGATTTGTCAAGCGTTACGCGTTTAAAAGAAAAATAATTGGGTAAATACAGTACTGGCTGTCGAACGACGGTCAATTCACACCGCAACCGCAGCGTAACCGCGGCTCCAACCGCTAGTCATGTGTACGGTCCTAGGCGGCCGCCGCGGCGCGGCGGCTGCCGCTCTCATGTGTACAGGGCCTTAGCCCAAAGACAAAACTTTACTGATCTCCCTTTGTTAAAATAAGACTATGAACTATGTTCTTACACTGTTAAAAAGTGTACAGTATGGCAATAAATTATTTAATTTCAAATCAAATGTCCTGATGTGAACTGAAAACAGAAACATTATACCTGGGATATTGAAAAACATTTACTTTATTTTTAAGTACTTTAAGAAACAAATGTATTTTTCTAGTTTTTAAGGCACCAACCTAAAACAATACTGTATGTAAAAGAGCGGAAATCACTGGCAGAACACCGCTTCCATAACCACAAGATAATTTATGGTGTTTATCAGACTGCTGCTTTTATTGGTTTTGTGGGACTCAATTTTTAGCTCAGTTGCGACAATGACTTTTATCTTAGGTGCACATTAACTACGATTTCTTTACATCATCAAGAAAATTATTTTTGAAGAATAAGGAGGAATAAAAGCATATTAAGGTAATTAAATTTGTTTTACAATCACCATAGTATATTTATTTTATTTGGCATGATTCTAAGTAAATACATTTTTTACTGGAACATCACAGTTAAACATTTTTCATTGTAGCTCTTCAATACACATGTTTTACATACAATATGTTAAGTTTTGAATACTTTAAACCTGTCCCAACAATAAAGCTTGCAATCAAATAGAAAAATTAATTTTTATTTGCTATCCAAACATTTTCTTAGTTATCATAAAAATGAGTTGTATATTATATAATACTAGCAGAGTACCCGTCCTTCGTACGGGGTTGGCATATAAGTTTAAAATGCTTATTGCAGTTACTGTATACTCAAGCTTTGCGTTTGCAATGGGGGAGGACCAAGTTTGATCAAATTTGCTTTTTTAAATTGACGGTATACTAACGGTATTAGAAATCTACCATAGCCATTCTGCCACTTCACCTAAACAATAGAGAAAAATAAATTATTCGAATCCACAAAAATTCACTAATAATATTATTCATAACATTAAAAACATAAACATAACTAACTGTAAACAATTTTCCTTTGACAGTTCCCATTATGTATCACAGTTTTTTTGTTGCTGCTTAGTTGAAATTAGCTGTTTACGTAAATGCAAAAAAATGATAGTGCTGCACCCTGTTGGTAAATCTTATAACATTTTAATGCTTTTGTATATCATAGAACTAACTTTTTTAGTTGAAACAGCTGACTAAATACTTTAATTCCCTTTAATTATGAATACTCATAAGGTTAACATGGGGAACTACAGAGCCACTGGGGCTGAGCCCAAAAGGATGTTTGAGATAAGAATATGCCTATATGTTAATCGGGAATGTGAGATATCATGCCAAATTTCAGCCCAATCCGTCCAGTGGTTTATGGGTGATTGAGCTTCAAACAAACACACAAACTTTCACATTTATAAGATAAGATAAGCTATTTTCAGAATGTACTTAATATTAGTTTTCCTATTCATGGCAAATATTTTCTGTAGGCCTAGTGATTTTTTCTTGAGGATTTAATAGTCCAATGAATTGAGTGTTGGAAACTTAAGCTGTTAGCTACTTGTATGTTTATTGTTTAGTTTTCAATATTTTCAACTTGCACAGCTTATTTATGCCATTCCATTTGTGATTCATTATTTATTCTTTATTGTTGTAATGACTTGTTAGCAGGCTTGACTTTCAAACCATGACAGAGAAGTCAATTGCTGCACACCCAAGTAATAGAATTTATAAGTTTTGTTCATTTTTGTGCAAAGCAAGATAGTTGCTCTGCTTGGTTCGTTACACACATGCGTAAACGCAAAGATCTTGTGGACAAACAAAGAGAGGGAGTTAAAAAAAAGTTTTCATTTATCATCAAAATTAAACGTAATCAACTAAACGCAGGGTTCTCGGTAAAAGCTAAATTGAATTAAATGCACTTGTGCTCGCACATCAGGAAACAAGTAAACTAAAAGTGTCTTATTTTGATATTGAGGCCAGCTAGTTCTTTAATCACAATCAATTATTCATCTCAATAAACATGACATCACAATAGACATGGGAAAGGTGTCATACCTTCAAAATGTGCCAGATGCTTCTTATGGTACTTCTTGCAACCTACATGTCAAAGTTAACACAATAGACCAGTTAAAACTTTTTATTGTATTCCGTTCATCCATTCATTACCACAAAATATTTCTCTTAGAAGATCCTTGGCTTTCTTCTTGAACTCAAACAGGTAAGACAAAATTCCTGGAAGAGCGATTATTGGGTTCCTGGAACTTGAGCTAAGCTGCATGTTTTTATAGTTTGCAGAAAGGTCCCATAACTTAATTGATAATTTAAAATGTAAAGACATCGATAAGCTATCGTATGATCCGCCTTACTGTAGTTCACCATGTCAGCTTAACATAATGTTGTGATAGTCAAATGAATGGTTTTATCATGAATATGGATACAGGATCGTCAAGTAGAAGAACCACTGTAGGGTTTACTGCTGCCATGTCACCCAGGTTCCTGCTGCTGTTTACCTTCAGCATAGCTATATCAGGTAGGTGTTTGGCAAAACAAAATCAGCTCTGTTAACTTCAAATTAAAACCTGCCTAGGAGATGTATTTTTTGTTACTTGTTGCTTCAGGAAAGATACCACCCAAAACATTACCGCTGCATCATGTGTTTTACATGTGTCGATTAATTGCGATACAAACCTACCTAATATGTGGTTTGAAGTTAAGATAAATGTACAGATGATAGCATTGTTAGTAATTGAGATTAGTACCAAAACGATAGCAATTATTGACTGTTCTCATAAATAGTCCATAAGTTAAAACTAGTGCTGATGCTTTGAAAGAATTAGAAGCTCCATTACAAAAACCATATTAATTTTATGTTCTACCTTTGACTATAATTGGCGATAGCTGATCCATATAGATGGGATGTCTTCTTCTGTATCCAAACCAGGGACAGTCTTGAAAAAGAGAAACTCTCAGTTGAACATTTCAAAATCACAGTAGAGCTCCAATTATCTGAATGAATGGAGCCGTACCCCATTCTGATAATCAAAAGCTCGGATAACTTGATTTTAACCAAAATTTGGGTAGTTTCATATGTTTATGCATTCACAAATATTTTGTAATTGAAGAATTCAGACTTTTACCACAATCAGGGAGGAGATGATGATTTCCTGTGACTGCGGGAGACGATGATGATGACAAAAAAACTGGGAGATATTCAAAGTTTGCTGGGATCATAAAGAACACTTGACTGTGGCAGATAGGTATTCAAAATCTACCGCGATCACAGATGATGATGACATTTTGGTGACCGCAGGAGACAATGATGATGACCGTGGTAGAGTAGCTGAGTGGTTTAGTGCTCGCCATACAATAAAAAGATCACCGGTTCAATCCTGAAAAAAGATAGTAGCTTTTTGATAGTTCGAAACTGGACCCAGCTGTTCCAGATCATTAAGCTTTTTAAATAAATGATCCTGGCTAATGAAACAGCTGATCTTAAGTCGTTAAAAAAGCTACACAGGTCTTGCACCATTCTACACTCATATTTGGGTTAAAATAAACAATTAGCATCCCTATCTCAAAGAATGATAATTGATGTGCAGGATTTTGCCGCAATTAAGGATTCTTTAAAAATAATTATTTTAAATTAAAAAATATAAAAAATAAATTTCAAAATCGCAAAAGTCTCTCTATGAGCGATTTGGATATTTTGCGTTCTTCTGTATAAAGGATTTTAAGAAGAGTTCAACCTTGTAAGTTTAGTTTTTAATTGGTGCTCTGCAGCATTAGGCAATGTCTGTTATTGATAGGGACTCTTGGAAGAAGGAAACACCAGCTTTTTCGGGAAGAATCTGCTGGAGTATGTCCAGGAATACGAGCCCACACTCCAGACATGTTGCACTACATGATGACTTCCGGGCCGATTTCCGAGGTACCTAATTTTATTTTTGTGCTTGTTAAAATGTGTTGAATGTTTTTTTGAAAGAGGACTGTGGCAACATTTTTTTTCAAATCAATGTCAGTGTGCTGGGAGTTTTCTTGCCAGCTTATTTCCACACATATTCCTCTATTTTTAGATTTTAACGATAAATAAGGTTGTGATGTTATGTTTTAATCACTAGAAATTCATAACTGGTGACTCCATTTGAATGAAAAATAAACAGTTCAAAAGTATGAACTACACTTAAAAATTACCGTAGTTGTAATTGTAAACAATAACAACTAAATCTGCATTGAAGAAACAGATTGATATTAGTAATTTATGGCGTTCAATTTTACTCAACTTTAAATAAAAGAGGCTGAAACCCTGCAATTTTGTGTGGATATTTGCTAGATCCTCTCATGAATTATTTTCAACCAAACATTTAAATCTGCTTTCAGATGGCTGCCTTTTACAAGCCTGGAAATGGCACTCAACCAACAAGCAGCAGTTCTAAAAAACCGGGCAAAGACGGAAAGAAAGTTGCTGTCGGAAGCTCGTCAACAAACAGAATTAAGTAAGAAGAAACTAAACTATACCAAGTAATAAAATTAAACAAAATTTAGACAAATAAATTTTCTTTAAAAATAGTACTTTTATCGAGAACAGTAACTATTCCTGAATATATTTACAATATATATCAACAAATAGAAACTTTTCCCAATACAGTAAATTGTTAAGGAAATTGACAGGAAAGGAGGCTTTTAAATAAGTCCATAAACACATTTAAAAAACCTAAAAGTAGAAATTGTTGTGACCACTTTTTCAACAGTGACCCTTCTTGAAAACGGGCACAGACCTTTGAAAGCTTCAGGACATTGGGGAAGCATAAATAGACATTATAAAATAGAAATAAAACAATGGGATATTGTGGTTTCTCTTAAAGTTTCTGTTAGTTTTATACCAAATGTCATGAAAATCCATAATTCTGTTTGTGATTACATTTGATTGTTGCAAATAAAAATATATTCACTTTTTTTACCTACGGTATTTTTTTATATTTTCCATAGATTGGTATTTTGACTTTATGATTTAAATTTTGACTTCGTTACTGTCCAATTTAATACAGTAGCAAAAAGAGTCAGAAAAAAGTAAAAGCTTAAGGATAAGTTCAAGCGTCCTGATGTTTTAGGACAGCTAGCATTGCTGAATGTGTCATTTTAAATTCATTGCTTAAGAACGCTCCTTGCTGCACAGTGAATTTGGAACGGAGTATAGAAAGGTAACATGACCTGGCTTTAGACTGTTCCCTTAATGTCATAATATTTTGCCTTCCTTCTGTTCCTTGTTTAATTTGTTCAAAACCATTGTATTGTAAAACATATGATTTAATCTTTTTTTACATTTAGTCAAAACACAAAATGTTAGTATACTTGTTGTAGTACAGTTTTAGTTGATTAAAACCTTATTAATCTGAGGTGTTTATCATTACACTTACAGAATAAAGAAAAAAAAATTTATTTTCAGTTTATCGGAGGAAGTGACAGGGTTTCAGCCGGTGGAGGAGCAGGATATAGCAGATCAGTGTATTAAGGTGGGACCTTGCGACCGCTCGGCCAAGTACCGCACTATCAACGGCACCTGCAACAACTTCCAGTTCCCCATGTGGGGAGTGACGGGGTCGGCTCTCGTAAGACTTCTGCCTGCTAATTACGAAGACGGTGAGATCTGGTCGGCTAAGGTCTATTGACCAGCATAATGTATACAAATGTTAATACACTTTGTATTGTTCCTTGCATCTCTTAAGTCTTATAAAAATATTCTCAGACTGAAGACTGACAACTTAAAGTAAACCTTTATAATTGCTCAGGTGTTACTTTTTCTATTTAGAAGCACTTAAAAGTAGTTCAATTCAGTTAAACGACATGCTGCATTTACGTACAAACTCAACCATAAAAATGTACATTGAGGGGTTTTAGCTATTTTAAAGCATCAATTTTTCTAATAAAATATTCTAATCCCTAGAAGTTGCATTCTAAGAAAAGTAATGGTATGTTTCCATTTAAATTATTCCCTCAACGGACATGTTCGATTGATTTTTATTTTTATTAACCTTTTCACAGATTTTTTCTCCGACATAAAAATATCATCTAAAAAAATTCCCCTATCATGACCACCAACATAATTGTCTTATTTATAGCTACCATCCACACTCATAATCTTCAAAACCCTAATAGAACAATGTGTTGTATTTTATTATATCATGTTTTTTAATGACCTCATAAGTTGCAAGTTATAAGTTTGGTTGGTCCTCATTTTCACCGTACAGGGGGACACAAGGTAAGGAAGTCGGAGAGTGGGAAGGAGTTGCCGAATGTTCGTCAGCTGAGCTCAACGTTGTACATTGACCGCAACGTACCAGACCTGCTCAACATGTACAACGTGATGCAGTGGGGACAGCTTGTGGCACACGACACCACACATATCATGCAGCAAGACGTCGGTTAGTAATCACTGTGGAAATTCAATATGAGTGTTTTAAAATATTGTATGTTTTTATTAGTAAGCTAGATTACTTAACCATCCTCCTAAAGGTTCAATGAGTACAGATTATGAGTAAAAGTGTCTCATCTGTTTGGGCCATTCTGACTAGCTGATAAAGCATTCTACAGTTTAAAAATAAAATAATGATTGTAAAGAACAATTACAAATTCCAATAGACATTATAGATTTTTGTAGAGTGAAATCAAGTCTCCAATACACAGTTCTTTTTGTGTAAAGAGACCAAATTTTTTTACTTGATAGGTGCATCTTGATAGGTACAAACTAAGGTGGGATAATAATTTAAGTACAAAACTTGCCTTTCTTGATCGGCAACAATTAAACCTGTGAATCAGGAGAGATATATGTGACATCCAGAAAGCCAAAATGGAGCAATATCACTGGTAGCTCTGAAAACCACCTACTATTGTTCTCCACTGTTTTTCGTTGTTTTCCTAGCTGTTAAGATTCTAGAAATCTACGTCTAATCAGAATCAGAATCAGAATGCTTTATTCTTGAGCATAGAGTACAGAATAGGCGTCAAACATTACAGAGATTTAAATATAAAACAGTATAAAGTTGTTGGGCTTTGAGGCACTGTCGGTAGGTGGTTATTTTGTCTAAAAAATTACTTCTAAAATTGAAGATACTTGTACGGTATGTCGTATTCTCAATGTCAAGCGTATTACCTGCAGTATTGTACTTGGAATCATAAATATATCAATTTAAAGTCTGCTGCTGCAGCTGCTTCCACTACATAAACGTGATGTTATTAACCCAATGTGAGTGGAATTCAGCTAATGGTTTGTCCTTGCAATAATTTCTCTTCTAAAACAAAATTATTCAAATACACACATTACCACTGTATATGTTGTTGTCTGTAGACAGTCAAGGTCTGGACTGCTGCCAGCCTCCGTGTGCCATCTACACCGACGTGTGTCTGCCTGTACCAGTGCCTCCGAATGATCCATTCTACAACCAGTACCACGTGCCTTGTCTCAACGTCGTCCGCTCTGCCACAACCAACAACATGAAGTGTCCCCTCTCCCCTCAGCAACAGGTAACTGATAAACAATATTTGTTTGTTTTCTTTGTTTTTATCCTACCCCTGCAACTACCCTACCTTTTTTTTGTAAAGCTGGGTTTTCCTAGGCGCGGAAGCAGAGAGCGGAGAGAGGAAAGCAGAGATCGGAAAAGAGATTAACATGGTGTTCCGCTCCGCTTCTAGGAAAACAGTAACATTAATTTACCTAAGACAAGTGGAGTCCGCTCTCCGCGTTCCTCTATCCGCTCTCCGCTTCTGCGCCTAGGAAAACCCGGCTTTAGGGAGAATGTACAAAACACTGGTCTTGTTTCTGACCCTAGTTGTTATGCTAAATAGCATCATCAATTGATAGCTGAATGACAAATGACATCTGTGTCTAGGGTCTGGAATTGATTTTTTTGGGTGGGTTGAACCAACATTTAGCTTTGAAGGTTATCACTTATTACTCGACTACTGAGAAATTACAATAAAGTACTGGCATAGTATTTTGCCACTTAATGTGTCATCTACCTGGTTTCACTCTAGGGATCTCAGGTTATATGAAGGTTGGTACAAAACTTATTATTCTTAGATGTACAGTAGACTCCCTCTTATCCGGACTCCTTGGGACCGAGGCCAGCCCGGATTACGGTTTTTCCGGTTAAGCCGACATCCTCAAAAACTCATTAAAATGGACCGTTTACGGTGATATTTGACTTAAATTTAGGAGAGCATTGTATTTAGACATGTGATCACTGGTCTCAAATCTTTCCCACGAGAACAGTCCTTACAGTACCACCCACTTCCTGTCGATCTAGTCCGGTTAAACCAATGTGCCGATAATAATTGTCCGGTTAAAGAGATGTCATTTCCCTCGACTGTAGTCCGGTTAAACCGATGTCCGGTTAAAAGGTGTCCGGATGAGAGGGAGTCTACTGTAGTTTTAATTTCACCCATCCATATAGTTCCAGCTGAGTGAAATAGTGTGCCTAGCAATCATTAAAGGTACAAAACCTGTGATGGTATGAAAATGAAACGTTACCCAGCTGTCCCGAGCTGTGTGTAGCTTTTGACAAACTATCATAACTAGTAAACACGTTGCTCGAAATCGAGCAATTGTAAAGAAGTAAAGTAGTTATTAAAAAAACAAATAAAAGTCATCATAATTTCTAATGAGTTTAAAAGACTTTGAATTGAAAAATAAATAACAGCGATTAAATTATACAGCTGACCAAAATGTAAACAATTATGTTCTTCATAAGGATAACATGGGAAATTTAACAGCCACTGGGGCAGAGCCCAAGGGACTTTTTCAAAAATGTAAGATCAGTTTGCAAATCTACGCGACACGCTCTTTCCAATGAGACGTCAATGGATAAAATCGGTTAAGAAATGGCAGAGGAGTTCAACCGACAAAGTTTCATGTAGTGTAATAATTATATAGATGAAAGAATCGGCTGCTGTTATTCAGTTTCAAAGGTTTCATCTCATTCATTCACTACTCATCCTTCACTCATTTTCGCCTTAACATACACATCCTGTTGTATCTAATCTAAAAGATACCCTAACTGTTTCTTGTTGCTTATGACAGGTGATTGGCGTAACACACTTTGTCGACGCCAGTCTTGTGTACGGCAGCACTGACAAAGTGGCCAAGAAGTTGAGGACTTTCAAGGACGGTCTGCTTGAGGTCCGTCCTGACGATCCCAGAGAGTTCCCTCCACAATCCGACACTTCTAAAACAGACTGTGACAACGTAGGATCCGACAATATATGTTACGCTGCAGGTAATTTATACAAGTAAAAATGCTGCATATTATCATATCCTTAATGAAAATAATCTTTGACTATAACAATAGTCGCCGGTTCGATCCTGATAAAAGTCAGTAGCTTTTTGATGGTTTGAAACTGGACCCAGCTGTTCCTGATCATTGGGCTTTAATTAAATGATCCCGACTAAAGAAACCGCTGATCTTAGTCAGTAACAAAGCTACACAGGTCATCACACACCATTCTACACTCATCCTTCACTCATATTTGGGTTAAAATATGCACCTAGGTGGTGTCCCCATCTCGATGATTGATAATAATTGATACTATTGAAATATATAGGCTTTAATAAAAGGCTAATTATTTTTGTACACATAGGCCTAAATATTATTAGTTGTAAGTATCTTAGGCTGGGAAAAAATTGGTGACTGGAAATATAGATATTAATTTTTAATACAAAAGGTATAAATACTTTGAAGATATTTTAACCACAAAATGTTCCTAATTTTGAGAAAGGTCATGAAAATTGCTGATGGACTAGTAGCCTACTATTTATAATCCAAATAATTAGGTATTTTTTTAATAAAATTAATACTTACAAATTAAAAATTTTCTGACTTAAACATTTGCAAGAAGAAATATTGGGTATTTACTCAGGGGAGGTATAAAAGAGGCTACGATGACAGCTGTGGGCTTCTTATTAGCTGAGGGAACGCCATTACCGTAACAAAACGATCTGTAGACGTCGGCCTCAGTGGTCTAATGGTTATCGTGCCGGGCCGGTATGCTGAAGGTCCCGGGTTCAAAACCCGCTGGTAACATTTACTTTTTGTCCAAAGATTTTTTTTATTATCAGCAAGTTTTGGTTGGTTTGGGTCGGTTATGACAGTTTAATTTTTTTATTAAGTCATTATAAAATTTTATTTGAGCAATTTCTAGTTTTATTTAATAAACAGAATTATTTTTTCTATTACTGTACTAAACTTTTGTTATATTATTTCATTATCAGCAAGTTTGGTTAGTTCGGTTAGGTTATGATAGTTTAATTTTATAATTAAAAAATAATAAAATTGAATTTGAGGCATTTATAATTTAATTTTATGAACAGAACTATTTTTGCGATTAGTAGGCCTAAACCTTCATTGCCAATGTACTCTCTACTACAGCGCTGTTCACGGAGGAATTTTGAACTAATGCCTCATTCGTACCTCCCCTAAGTCAGACCCGAAATATTGGGGATTGAAGTCAAGCTCACTTAAAAACCAGTAACAGTACAGGCAATGAAGAAAATATTTTGTTGTGAAATTTCCCAGCTCTGTATATTTTTTGTATGATTTTATTTTGTTTGTTAAAACGCATGTAGTGCTTAGGTTTTTTTTTGTAATAGAACATTTTTAACCCTGTTGTTGTTACCATCTAACACCGGTCATTTGATAGATATAATTAAATGTTATCCCAACGACAAAAGGTATCAAATAGTACCTGAGTCTAGAATCGATCCAGAAAAATGATTAAACCAGCAATCTTTATATTTGAAGGCAAGCACCTTCACCACTCCGCTACCCAGACAATCTGATGAACTTCACCATTTGATTACGAAATATAAACAAATACTAGTTTTGTACCTGAAACCTCATAGGATCTTGTTATGTTTCCACAGGGGATGACCGAGTCAACCAGAACACCGGTATAACACTGCTGCAGATTGTACTGTTGAGGGAGCACAACCGAGTGGCTCGTGAACTCAAGGAACTCAACCCTCACTGGAAGGATGAGAGGCTGTACCAAGAGGCCAGGAAAATAGTCGGTGCCGAGGTTCAGAGAATAACTTATGACGCCTACCTTCCCATTATTATTGGTGAGCTTGTTCCTAGTTTTTCTGATTACAGGTAACCATTTTATACAACATTGGGTCTTATCAAAGTACTCAAAAGCAGAAAAAGAGAGTACTGGTAAATAGCCCCAAAGATTTGTGTTTGTATATTTGTTGTGTCTTCCTTGTATATCAACATTTTTATCCTTCAAACTTGCTGATGATCCTGCGCATAGCTTTTAAAACCATGTTTTGAGTAATTTTTATGGATTACCGGTATAGTCCTACTTGCAAGCCACGATAAGTTTACTTATAACAATCATCACATTGTATTATTGTTATTGTACATTGTTTTGTTTTGGAACTATTCCACATTCATGCATTGACTTGGAGATGTGTTTATAGGTGTTTGGATATTTCATTAAATTCTGAAGCAGAGATTCAGTTTTATAACAAAATTAAGACTGTTTTTATACAAAGCAGCTTCTATCAGAAGTCAATTTTTAAACGTAAACTTTGAAAATAGTAGTGCTATAGCCGTAATTAAATTCAATTACGTAAAGTACTTTTTCATAAATTTTATTTTTAAATCTCTTTTTCACCTATTTTTCAACCTTTAATACTCAGGTTGTAGTTTCAACTCTTCTTATCCTTATATCTTCCATTTTAATGAATCTGGTCTATTTAAAATAAATATAAATTGTAAGAACTACAATATAACCAAACAATATTAAAGTAAGTTTTATTGGCGTTTAGGGAAGGAGCAAATAAAGAAGTTCGGTCTCAAAGACGGTCATGGGGATGAGGATTTTGTGAACGCATATGACCAGTTTTTGAACCCATCTACTCTCAACTCTTTTGCGACAGCAGCTTACAGAGCCTTCCACAGTATGATTCCTCGACAGATTGTGTAAGTTTTTATTTTATTATTGAACTTTCAATCAATATAATTCTTAAGATTATACACTTTCTAAGTAGTGGTGGTACCTAGACTCCCACCAAAATATCACCACTTGAATGTTTGATTCGTTTCTCTCAGCAAAAGCCATGATTGCATCAAAATCCAAAAACTCTTGCTTCATCTTGTACGTCATCCGCAGTCTTGAAGACATTATCATCGTCTCCCGTGGTCACGGAAACGTCACCTATTTCCACAATAGTGCAAAAATCTTGGATATTTTCTCCGGTCATCTAGACATCATCATCGTCTCTCGCGATCACAGAAAAAAAAACATTACCTTTTTCCTTAATAGTGCCAAAATCTTGGACACCTTCGGTCTTGTAGAAATTATATTCGTCTCCCGTAGCCACGGAAAGGACGTAATCTTTATTACGTGATTGCGGCAAAATCTTAAACATCTTCTTCGCTCTTGAAGATATCTTACCATCAACATCTCTTATATCAACTTACCTTGAGATAAGTCAATGCATCATAAAGTTTGACTTTGACATTAGTTGGATTACTGTAAATCTTAATACACCCATATCGCCCTGTCGAATCAAGTTGTAACCTTCTGTGTATTCAATTTAGTGCCTGAACTTGGTCATTTTATTTGGCAGGCCATGCGATCATGTTACCAATTTTTTTAGTGTATATGTTCCTTCGTTAATGCTTTTAAATGTTTCTTGTCACTATGTGTTTTTGAATAGGACAACAATGATCGTTTGGGATTGACAACGACAAAATATATGTAACCTATTTTATCTTATTTTGTCTATTTTATTTTATAAGCAATTTATCTCTATGTCATCAGCTTGTATGACGAGGGATTCAACCCTATCAAGACATTGAACATTGATGACTTTTACTTCCGCCCCACCATCATCCAGAAGCCTAAGATGTTTGACAAGTTTTTGCGAGGTCTTGCAACCCAATCTGCTCAAAGTCAGGACCACTTCTTCTCTGCTGGGGTGAGTTACTAGGACACACTATGGTTACATCATCTTTGAACCCTGTCTGTCTTAGTGGGGTTAAGGCTTTTACTTTAAATATTCTTCACATCGATTGTTTTCCTTCAGCCATACCATGACTCATAATTAATTTTTTTTTTGTTCCTTAACTATTTTGTGTAAGATATATAAATCCTGAGAAGCACTGTGTTTCTGTCTTTGGTAAAACTTAAGCGGGAACTGGAATGTGCTGATTTACATTGTTCCTTAAATGTATAGTATTCTATCTACTTCCAAATGAAACATGCCATTAATTTATATTTTGAAAATCAGTTGTTGTTGTAACTCGTAAGTAGAAATATCACACATTAAACTGTTCCCCGCAAGAGCTGAATTAAGGTCAGCTAAAGTCACTGCTAAGGTAGCATCAGCCAGTTTGACCTAAACATAAAATAGTATTTATAAGTATCTTCTATTGAATAGCACTACCACTCACACTATCCTTTTATTTTTAAGTTTATAATGATCTTTTCAGATTACAAACCTCCTCTTCAAATCTGGCAAGCCCTATGGGAAAGACTTGGAAAGTATAGATATGCAAAGAGGAAGAGATCACGGGCTACCAACATACAACGACTTCCGCAAAGCTTGTGGTCTTGATCCTGTTACTAGTTTCAAGAAGTTGGCCAACTACATCCATCCAGAAGTAAGTTAGCATTCAAAAAGCTATGATTGTTATAGCTTTTCAGTAAATAACTTGTTGGAATTATAACTGATATTTTCCAATTCAACAGTTGAAGTTTTCACTTGGGAATTCTACTAAGCCCACTACATCTTAAGCTTAGTCAACGGCAGTTGAATAAGAGAGTCAAATGATAAGTTGACTCCAAGTATTACTATTCTTTCAAGTTATGTATATCCAGTTGTACTGTACTTCAATTGGTAGCCTTCAAATTTTAATCATGATTCTAACTGTATTCTCATGCCATAAATGCTATCTGCACTTAATAATTTAACTACTATTTTTTAAACAAATTATTATATTCTCATTTTATTTGCATTTCCTAAAAATAAAACCATAAATTAAATAAAAGCTGTGTCCTATTGAACAAAGATGTAATACTTCCGCACGACCGAACCCTATATTTTTATTTTACCGGATGACGGAAAGAAAAAATTATTCAGAAGCTGCATCAAGTGAATGTGGCATCAAGTAAACCGGTAAACAAACTATAATTATAATATTAACTATCTTCGACGCAAAAGAAACCTTAACCATAATCTTCCAGTACTGAGAACAGCACAGATTTTACTCTTAAGTCAATGAGCTAAATGACTACATATAAACAACTATGCATAAATTTGCTTTTTAACTTTCCCCCGAACTCAAGGTAAACCTCGTCTAAAGAGACATCACGGAGGTTATGTGTTAATGTCAATTTGTGATACTGTTTTCATTACAGAACAAAAATATTAATTTATGAATTGATTTGTTTAACTTATTACACATTTTTGTTTATTTTTTTATTCATCGGTATTTTTCAGGCTGTGGAAAAACTAGAGGTGTTTTATGAGTCGGTGGACGACATTGATCTGTTTGTCGGAGGAGTGTTGGAGCCTCACGTCCCAGGAGGTTTGGTTGGACCGACGTTCGCTTGTATCATCGGAGAACAGTTCAGACGGTGGAGGAACGGTGACCGCTTCTACTACGAGTTTGGGGACCAGGCTGGCTCTTTTACTCTTGGTGAGACTTCAATGAACGATTGAAAAAAGGTTTTGTTTTGAAATAAGTTATGTTTATTTTTTTTAACTGTGGATAGAACTAGATTTTTCATTTTTAAGTGTGAATTGAGTCACCAGTGTGCTGGTGTCAATCACTTATTTTTGTTGTATACGGCAACTTTTTAACAAAAATAAACCGTCGACTAAATGTAAACTTTTGCATATTTTATACCATATAAAGTATTATAGTAATAAAAAATAAGAGGACATTAAATCATTTTGACAGTAGAATCTTAGACTATTTAATTGTCAATGGTAGCATACTCAGTGAGTGGCTGATTCAACAACTTCCTGATTAAATATAGAATTAGTTAAAGCTGATCCAGACTTTAATATATTAATACTTCACTTTGAAATTGCGACCATAAGAATGTAGGTATTTTAAGCCAAGTATGAATGGAGATGAGTGTAGGATGAGTGGCACGATCTTGTAGTCTTGTTAGTGACTAAGGCCGACATATACCTTAGACACAGTTACACAGCTGTATAACCCATATTGATGTGAAATAGAGTGAACCTCTCATCCTATTGTAGAATCTGAAGTCTATGTCGATGTGAGTTTCAGGTTTGTGCGCTGATGTTCACTAATTGTTTTTTCTTGTATTTCATAGTAAATTTTACAATTTGTGCTTAAAATGGAATACATATCGTTGTTATGAAGCATTATAGTGTGTGCAGGTCGGTCAAAACGGAGCTTAGTCAAGAAGAAGACTGATATGAAGATTATCTGTAGAAAAACTCTTTTGAGGAAATATTTACAAAAAGACTCTAAGAGACTAATGAATCATGCAGCAGTAAGTAAGCTGTACTTAATCGATATTCTTTTTACAGAACAACTCCAAGAAATCCGTAAAATGACACTGGCCGAATTGTTTTGCCGTAACGGTGATGACATTGATAGAATGCCCACTAATGTTTTCCTGTCGCCTGGTATTTTGTAAGTACAAATTTATTCTTTCTTAATTTAGAATAAGTTGCTTTAAAAGTGTGTGTTTAAGGGTGGTTTTGTTTTCATCTACTCAGTACATGGGTGCGACTGGTCTTTCTAGTGTTAAAGCATGGAGGTTCTAGCCTGGCGGCGTGAGTTCAAATTCCACCAAACACCAATTTATTCGTTTTGGGCCCTCCTAAACCTCTAGTCAGATTTTTAAGAAATTTGGCATGTATGTAGGTAGTACTAGGTTGGTTTTTCCATGTGCTTTTTTCTTCTTTTTTTAATTGTTGATCATTAAAGGTAATTTTTCTGTAAAAACCTATAAAAAAATTTAAAAATTTGATAAAAAAACAGCTCAACAGATTTTGATTAAAATTTAGTATGTTCATAGTCCTTAAAACTCTGAACAAAATTGTACAATCCCCATTGCTGAAAAAATTCTGGTTAAAATGTTATTGCAACTTTTATGATTTTCAAATCAAAACACATAAAAAGAATGGAAAAAAGTTGCTTGAGACTGATATTGATTAATATTTGTAACTTATAGGACTTTCAATTCTAAACAAATTGGCACAATTGCTGTAAAAATTACAGTTCAAAAGTTTTGTTATTTTCTCTTAAAATACTCCCACTGCTTTCTTGATAAGGGTTGTTGACAAGCTAATAAGAGAGAGTATGTATCAGATTGCTGATGCCGTTATTTGTTTTATGTTTCAGCAATCAAATTTACCCTTGCAAACACATAGTAAAAACAAACCTCGCTCCCTGGAAGGAAAACATTACAGCATGAATGGAAGAGTAATAAGGAATTATAACTCAATTTAGTAAGTTTAACATTACCATATGTAATACTAGATAGTTTTGCTGGTTTGTTTCCTCCGTAGTCAATATAATTATCACAAACTTTGTGTTTAATATGTTGGAAGATAACAGTTTTGATTAGAATATTTTACTCAGCTGTAAGTGAATAGATTATATTACAGATAATATTTTATTAATGCATAGAAATAAATTATGATGTATGTACAATTAGCCGAGTAAAAGATAACCGCTTGGTTATCAGTATTTGTTAGATTTCATTTAACTTAAAACCGCTGGCAGTAAAATAAGTTAGACATTGTAAAACTTGTTTAGTTTCAGAATCAGACAAATGTTAAAAATGTACAGAATTGTAAAGAGTTACTGGTTTGTTACTGTTAAAAGACCCAAGTGTTGTAATTAGTTTTTCTATCAAAAAGAATAAACTATAAACATTAGGATATTTATTGCTATCTAACAGTGCTACCAATATTGAAATAATAAAATATATGGATGAACACAGAAGAAACTTATTTCCACCTTCTCTCTGATGTCTGTCTTAGTACAGATTTAGCTTGTTGCTAATTTTGTGTTGTAATGGCTTCTTAGGCTCATTATGCATTTATGAGACAATCTCCCAGTAGTTTCTTAAAAGGCAACCCATATTTTGAAACAGCATTCACTCTTATTTTTCCTCTGAAGCTTCTATTTGTTACTGTATTCCTTAACATAAAAAATAGTAACTTATTTTATTTATTTTTAATTTATCAAACATCATCACATTACATCAATTCTCTTGACAGGTGATTTGTCACAAAGTCTAATACTATACTACATTTTAAATAATAAAATAGCTTACAAAATATATTATATTTCATTACTAGGACCGAAAGTGGCATTTTCCGGCGCATGCTCAAGTTTTTGTGTGAGGCGAAGCCAAACACAGGGAACCCCAATTTCATGTGCAAGGGGAAGCCAAGAGGACGGGAATAATGGAGCAAGTGCCGGATAATAACTTTCGGTACAAGTTATGAACGATACTTTTCATCACGACGCAAAAATATACAGACACAGAATAGCAGACCTCAGTAATATAACAACTATTTTATTTCTCAATTACTGTAATTTGATTGAAAATCAAAATAAAATAAAATCTTCTTAAAAGAAACCTAAGTATATTTTTGATTAATTTTTCAAACATAAAAATTAGAGAAAATATTCTAAAGGAAACCTACGTATATTTCTCAATAAACTTTGTTTAAACATCAAAATAAAATAATAAACAACTTTTAACAATACATATAGCTGATTCAAATCATTAAACTATAACTAAACACTAGCGCATGTAGTGAATAAATGGAGAACTAATTGAGAGCGAGGAAAATTATAGAGCCCTAAATTATAGAGCTTGGGAAACAACTACTTTCATTGATGTCAGCTGTTATCGAAAATAGTTACTTTCGTTACAGAGTGATGAAAATATATTTTCTAGCCTTATATGGTTTGAGTAGATAATAGCCAGCCACAATCCTAAAAATAAAAGCCTAGGAGTTGTTGGGGATAGAGGATAAAGCCATCCTAGACTCTTCTTGGATTGTATTTCACAATACTACAGCTCATTAGTATCTATCCAAATTGGTTAATATTTAGCTATTTTCATGACTTAAGCACAGTGTCGCACATCTTTTTCTAGACATTTAACATTTAGATTGTTTTATTTAAAGACAATATACATTTGTTGTTATTAAAACACCAGAATACGTCAGTGGTACCAAATACAAGAATTCACGTCTAATTTGAATTATAAACTTAGCAAGGTTTATATTGCCTTATATATTCCAATCTTTATTTTAGCTTTATTATCAACAAGTACCATGTTACAAGCGAACATTTAGTTAAATAAGTGTGTGGAAACATGTTTTTTGCAAGGGGATTTAATGACAGACCACCTGGAGGTACTACTTACTTCCTTGATTCCTTTTAGTAATCTCTTCCTTATGGTAATTTAACCTCTCCTCCTATTCGTAGTGTATTAGAATTGCCTCTGTTAAAAAAGTAACATTTTTATAGTGTCATGCCTCAAGTTTTAAACATACCTAGTCTAATGTGTTTGTTGGGCAAAGCATTTTTGTTATTTTTATATTAATTTTAACACCAGTTGTATTTTAGAGAGAATATAGGTGCAAAAGGAAATATTCCAAGTTTTTAGCATTTTTGTCAACTCTTTAATATAAATATTACTTTAAGTATATGCATTATGTACATATCAACCCCTATTTCATTATACCGAAGTAGAGAGATTTGAGGCTTCTGAAAATGGAGTCTGACTTCTTGATATATCCCACTCCTTCTGTTTCATGGTGAGGCCCTGGAAAAAGCTTGTATTTAGTGTCTGCATGAATTTAAAATACTTATCACAAAAAATGAAAGCTGAGAATTTTTTTTCACTGTTAAAAAATAAAATAAAAAATATTATAATAAATTACCATTCATTGTTGTTTTCACGCTAGTTTTGGGTGTGTCTCTCTGGTTGTGGAAGTGGACGTTAAGAATTCAAATAAATCCTGATTTGGCTACTTTTTGTAGAACGCACACAAGCATTATTATAGCCCAGTGACCAAAATGCCAATTGTTCTGGACCAATATTTGCCAAAGTGTTCAGGATTCATTACAGGAATATGGTCTTATGATCTACAAGTTCATCTGTAGAATGTTTGGTTACATTTCTTATAATAGTTAACTCAGCAACTCAGGCAAAGATACCCATATTGTAATGGCATATATCTTAGCTCTTTCTGTATTACAGTGGAACCCCGGTTAACCAAAATAAAGGGGGGAGAGCCGTTTCGGATGACCAATTTTTCAGTTAACCCGTCATATGGTAAAAAAAATTAGGGAATCAAGTCCAAGCGTACAAACGCTGAATTTATCCCCTTGTATCTGCACAAGAACCATTCTTTTCATTTGTAAAGTAAACAGTCAAAACCTTTACATACCTGTCTAAGAGAAGACAGCTGGTCCAGAACATCCTGTACCAGAGCCATGTCTGTGTTTGTGTGCGTTTGTGTGTCTGTGTGTGGTGGAGCGTCCACTCGGTGTCTCAAGCTGTTGCTAGCTACCACTGCAGCCACTCCACCTGCCACAGAACACACTGGCTGGTCAATATTGGTTGAATTGAAAGTATTGCCTATATTACCATTATCAATTGAGATGGGGACGCCACCTAGGTGCGCATTTTAACCCAAATATGAGTGAAGGATAGCTTAAAAATATAGCTGGGTCCAATTTTGCACCATTGAAAAGCTACTGACTTTTCTCAGGATCAATCTGTCAATCTTAACCTCCGGCAAAAATAGAATATTTCACTAAAATGTTTTAGCTACTTCTTACCTTTGAAAGAGAGGTATTTAGGTCTAATTGAACTATAGGTTGGCAACACCATCTGCATCACTCTTGGTGTTATGGTACCCCTGGTCACTGTAGTAACAGCTGGAACAAAAGAATCAATCTCATTAGTCTACTCTTTTATCAAATAACAGATCTAAGACCTCACAAAATTGGGTGTTGATGATACCATCATTTATCTATTCTGGTAACCTCAACGCCTCTTACAGTATCGCAAATTAGGATTGCTGTTTGAAATAGATTATTGACAAATAAGATTCAAAACTATTATTTAAACCATAGTTATTGGCAGAGAAATAATTTTTACTTAAGTTTGAAAATTACCAAGTTACTGTACCTATATGAACAGTGACATGTTTATCATTATCATTATCATTAGCCATTTAGATGAGGACACACCTAGGTGTGTATTTTAACGCAAAATACAAATGTATATAAATAAAATTACAGTTTTGTCTGTACATTTTGTAGAATCATGCAGTTTTTGTCATTACTTCACCGAGTGAGTTTTTGAAACTTTACTTCACTGAGTGAAGTAAAGAAGTTGTTTACATCACGCTTGGGATAGGGATGTTTAACATGGCGGGTTGGGTAAATATGTTACCAATTATTTTACAGTCCTTTTCACATTTATTTTGAAAGCCAGAACCCCCAGCTGGTATGGGTCCAATCCAAAGGCAGATCATTGTAGATCTTAGGTTAGGGCCAAAGTAGGAAAACCCTTTTCTACCCACTTCCAGGAACACTTTAGGAATTTGGAAAGTGAAGCAAAGCGTTGTGCCGGGCCTCGCATTGAGTGTAGAATGGAGTGACATGATCTTTGTAGCTTTGTTACTGACTAAATCAGCTATTTCATCAGTCAGTATCATTTATTGAAACTGAAAGCCCAATGATCAGGGACAGCTGGATCCAGTTTCGAACCATCAAAAAGCTACTTTTCTCAGGATCGAACCGGCGACCTTTTGATGGCTAGGCGAGCACTTTAACCACTTACCTATCCACCCAAATAAAAAAAATACGTTCATTTTCAAACAAATTTAATCCAAAGTAATCAAGGACAGTCTTTGGAAAAATTATATTAAATGCTAAAATTGTAAGTAACTACTGTATTATTTTTTAACTAATAAGATTTAGGTATATATATCAAACTTACGTGCTTGACTTCCTTGTATTTTCATATTAATCGGGGAAGGAGACCTGAAAAATATCACATTACTATTTATCTCCCTTAATTACTCAATGAAAAGTGATAAAACTAAAATAAGAGACTTTATTAATCTTGAGGAAAGTATAGACTTTTATTTTAGATTTTACTAAGAATGTATTAACTAAGGATTTATCCCTTAAAAAAGCTAAATACAGTCCTGAGACTGATTACCAAACAAACTAATTCGGTTTTCATTTTAAGTATATTAATTGAAAATATAATTCTTCAATAGTGTAATCATTCATAGTGTAATCAACAACTATAATAACTTTGCATGAACTAATGTTGATACTATATATGGTTAAGAGATAGCGCTAGCTCACCTGCTATCCTCCCGTTCAGTTTTGGTGGTCTTTGTCCTGCCCCGTGTGTTGCGTCGCAGCCTAGTTTGGTAGTACGGATCTCTCTCACTCTGTTTGATGTACTGAGTGTCCGGCCGATTCACTCCCCATTTAGGCCTCTCTCCCAGTCGCTGTTGAGACCTAGACCTCAAAGCAGCTTTGCTCTCCGACCTGTTGTTTGGAAAAATAAACCACACTTGATTACAAAGTAAAATATTATAAACATAGCATTCGTAATTTCCATTTTTGATTTGTAATGTATTCTCAATGTCTCTTAGAGCAATGACAAATTTTAGGCTTTTAGACCTAAAGGTTTATTGTTTATGTGTCAGCTTCAGAAAGATCCTAAAGATAAGTTTATGTTTATGTATAAGCTTTGTGGGTGTGAATCACGTTCTGTGGGTAGTTAATTTAACCTCAATTGAAATCCATAGCAAGTTGACAGATATTTTATGCACAAAAGTATTCTAGCATTCCTTCACTTCATTCTTGGCTGCTAAAATGAGACCAATCAACAAGATAGGGGTAGAAACCAGAACCAGCTACAATAGTACTGCATGACCTAAAGATTAGTGCGCTGGTTATTAGATTTTGACTAGTTTGTTGTGCGCAACTGGAGTTATTTGGAAACCTAAATTTATATACAACCCTCAAACTTGGTCTAAGTTCCATTCTTATAGTGAGTGATAGTGAGTGTTTAGTGCACATTTCATTGCACTTGCAAAGAAATACTTTTTTGTAAAAAATATTGGAGCATTTACCTAAACTCACTTTTTGTTGTGATGGTAAATACTTTTTTACATCCAGGGATAATTCTTAGAGCACTCACTTGGTTACTTGAGTCTGTGTTCCTTTCTCGTAGTGGTGGTTTGTGCGGAACTTTGTCGGAGTGAGGAGGCGGCCGGGAGACACTACCAGACTGAGTTGATTGACCTGGACCTCCTGCGGTTCACTCAGTACCAACGCAACCTCTGGTCCTCGTAACTGCGTCTCATCGGGGGAGTCTGGCTCATCCGACGACTCTATAGCTTCACGTGGAGGCTGTAGAATAAGGTCATTGGAAATAATTAAGGCTCCCATGGCCACGCTTAACAACAAACTACAATATTTTGGACTTTGGGCTAATACGAGTATGTGGGCGCCAGCAGGATTTTCCTCACTGGAGCAAATAACTACATTAGTATCTTATTGTAGGGGTTGGAGGTATTAGAGAAGTCATGGGCTAATACCATGTCCATGATAAATCAAGCTGATGTTTTGGCATCGTTGCAAATGGCCATCCTTAGAGCATTAATGGAACACTAGTACTCAGAATTACTAGTCATGGAGTAGTATTTCATTACTGCTCTACATAAAAAATAAATATTTTGTTTGAAGCACTATTTAATGCTTGCTGCACAAAAAATATGTTTATTTTGTGTCGACGATGAATAAAGTTACTGAGTGAAAATTTAAAAACGTACGTTTTCAGGAAAAGCACTTTGCAAATTTTTTTCCCCTTTTTTCAAAACTTTTATTGTTATTTTTATTTCATTAACATTTGAAGTTTCATAAAATGTCCATGGTAACGCAATATCTTTGGTATTTTTTTTAAAAAAAGAGCATCTTTAGTGGAAAAACACAAAATCCTGTCACGACCATAACAGACGTTTAAATGAATATTAAAAATAGTTAATATTATTTTTATAACTATGTTTTGCTATAAACTAATTTACTTTTATGACCATTATACAATAAAAAGGTCACTGAGCTTTTGATATATTTGGTCTTTCTAGAAAAAAACAAAAAAACTCAAAAAATAGAAAAAAAGCCATTAAAATCTTTTTAAGTTTGTATAACTCCGAAAAAACTTACCTGAGACCCGAAAAATCGTTATGTTTGTATAGAGGTGTGCTTCTTTTGTGTATAAAACATTGAAATATGACGATATTTTAATTTTTGAAATTTTTATGATAGAAATCATAAACGTGATGGTCAGGGACAAGCGGTACGGTCGTGAATTTTCTGAAATAATCTAAATCTTTCTAAACAATCCTTCAATTATACTGTTAGTTATAATAAAAATAAGTGTTTCAATTGAACTAAACTGTTCAAATTACAATTATATTAAAGTTATTGTCACGACCAAACACACTATAATCCATAAGGAAAAAAAACCCGCGATGGTCGTGAAACTTTGGTCGTGAAATTACGTGTTATTTGGCTCTGTTCTGGCGGTAGCCCTGCACCTCATATTCGAGGATACAAAGTGGACTTCTAGGTTAATCTAGCAATTGAAATATCTTATAAACAAAAATTAACACCATGTCTACTTCATCGAATGACTACGTACGGTCATGGACACACCAAAATTACAAAAAACACAATCTTTCCTATATTTATCTTGTAATTCCTCCTTTCAACTCGAAACGACCGGCACTACAATCCTGACGTACACCCCAAACTAGTCTCTAAAACCAACTGACTCCATCGACGCCAGGCTTGCCACTGTCGTGCTCCAAAGTTGAAAATTTTCCCCAAATGGTCGTGACGCCAAATCGAGGGACAGACTTATTTTGTCATGGTAGTCAGTTTGCAATGACAATAAAATTATAATATGCTCCTTTTTTGTAAGTTTAATAACCATTGATGACATAAAAATATGGCTTTACATATTTCGGCATGAATAATTAGTCTAAAAACAGCGTGAAAGTTGGAAAATGTACCCTAGGGACACGTCATGGTCGTGAATTTTGAGACTTTAAAAATACGAAAAAAATACCTAGAACCTATTTAAAACCAAATAAATGTGTGTAACATGTTGCCCCCGTCCCAAAAAATATTAAAACGCATAATAATAAACTAAAAATCCAGTATCTACGAAGTAAAAGGCCAGGGACATAAAACGTACGTTTTTAAATTTTCACTCTACTATGTTATGAATGAACATATTCAAACAATAAATTAATAAAACAAATTGAAACCTATTAAAAATAATTATTATTTTCCAACGGCAACTAATCAGTCTACACCTACCTCTTCCCTCTTCCCGACTGGTGTTCGCGGGACCGCCTCAGAAGGTGGGAGCTGGGAGACGTTTCTTGTTGTATGTTCTTCAATTGGTTTCTGTTCTTTTTCCGGCTCTTTGGTATGGTTATAACTTTCTTTTTCCTCCTTCTTAATAACATTTACTTGTTCTGTGGGTTGTCTTTGCAGATCCACTGTTACTGGCTCCACCTCTACTCTAGCTATTTTCAATTCTGAACCTGTTACACTAGGGATGATGGTTTTCTCTTGGTAAACTGGTAACGGTGCATCATCAGTTTCAAGTTTATGCTTTTTTCTTGTTTTTATTTTTTCTTCCTTAGCAAGACGTTCTGCTCTCTCCAAAGCTTCTTTCATTGCTTTCTCTTTTTGTTCTTCCTTGATCTGCAAAGCATATTTAATGTCAAACCGTTCAGTTGAATTCAATTATTTTGCAAGATTTCAATACAAAATAAAAATAGTAAATTATATTGGTTTGAGTTTGAATTGAAGCGTTTAAATAATAATAAATAATTTTTACAGTCTTCGTCTTCAGTGTTTTAATTATTATTACTTCTATTTTCAACAAACCTTGACACTTTTGTTATCCGCGAAAAAGAAAGAAAGAAATCTAAGATGATCACCATATACTGTAAATTAGATATTCAAATCATCATACTGCATTTACTTTGTACTTACACCAAAAAATTTTTGTCACACTGAGTACCAATCACCCTGTATTAATTGTTAATGCCTGATAACTTTAAAATAAAAATAGGTAAAGCCTGAAGAATACAGATTTACGTAAGTATTTCAGAAAAATCTTTTTGGATAAAGCAATCCCCAGTTAAACTTAAGTTTGATTCTCTATACTAAATTTCTCAATAATATGTTTCTACCTCATCTTACCTCTTTCTCACGCTGTTTTTGATGTTCCTCTTCAAGTCTTTTTCTTTCAATTTCTTGCTGTTTTCTAAATCTTTCCTCTTCAAGTCTTTCTTCTTTCTGGCGGCGTTCTCTTTCTTCCTTGCGCTTTTTGTCTCTTTCTTCTAACTACAAAAAAGGAATTCAGTTCAATCTTGTTAAAAATTGAAAGTAGATAATCAATTAATAGTACGATGTGATATACATGATGCAGTGATGTAGTTGCAAATTTTCTAGTGTGGGAATGCTCACCACTGTTCTAGAAAAAATACAGGTCGTCTGTTCTAAAAAAGAACCTACGTATATAGGTTGGAAAAAGCAGAGTTCCATTGACAATGATGTATTATACCAATCACAGCTATCTATTCTTCTATATGAAACTGCCTTAAGGATTACAACCATTCTAATAGTTTTAAGTGAAAAAGGTCATTTACTTATATGGTATTATTTAAATAATAAGAATAATATGTGTTATGAAAAGAAATGTTTAGAAACCAAATTTATATGGTTTTATTCAACTTAATAGTCAGCTACATTTTACATGAGAGAATTGCACAAAACTGTAAACATTACATACATAAACAAAACAGTCTTAAATAAAACAGCTGAATAAATATTTGACAGTACAAAAGGAATCATATTACATAACATTCACCCCATCTTTTTTTTTAAATGTAATCCCTTAGATAGGTGGGAGGTCTTCGGACTCTAGTGGAACGACGCAGGTTTGTTTCTTCGTTATCCCTCACAGAAGTAGGGGTCACGGTCTCATGCAGAGGGGATGTTTCGATTTCAGATTGAATAGAGTTCCCAATTTCAGGTTGAAGCAGATTTGATTCACGTCTCAGGTCTTGAAGAGCAGGATCTAGTTCTTGACTGGGATTTTCCGAAGTCACTGGCTCATCCTCTTGTTGGATAGCTTCAGGAGGAACAGCGAGATGTCGCACCGATACCAGAGCCTCTCTACCATCTCTATACTTGATGCGAGCATAGTCTGGATTAGCCTCTATCAGCTGAGCTTGTTCCACTAAAGGTTCATATTTGTTATTTCTTACATGCCTTCTCACTAATACTGGTCCTGGATTCATGAGCCATTGAGGTTGAGAGGTGCCATAAAATGATCGTCTCTGGTGTTTGAAAAGTCGTTCATGTGGGGTCTCATTCGTAGCTGTACATAGTAACGAGCGTATACAATGCAAAGCTTCTGGCAAAACATACTCCCACTGTTCTGTCTTCAGTCCCTTGTTTCTTAGAACAAGAGATACAGTCTTCCAAATCGTTCCATTATATCGCTCAGCTTGAGAATTACCTCGAGGGTTATAAGGTGAAGATCGGCTAGTGGCGATTCCTTTAGAGTGTAAGAAATCACTCAGTTCTTTTGACATGAAAGCAGAACCTTGGTCGGAGTGGACAAAAGCAGGCATACCAAAGATGGTGAAGATTGATGTAAGTGCTTTGATAACAGAAGATGCTGATGTGTCCGAGCAAGGAATGGCAAACGGATATCTTGAAAACTCATCAACAACCGTGAGTATGTATTTATTCCTTGTCACAGATGGTATTGGCCCTTTAAAATCAATGTTAAGTCTCTCGAAAGGAGCCATTGCATGGATGAGTGTTGATGGGGTTTTTTGGTAGAACCGAGGTTTCACTTCCGCACAAACAGAGCATGAAGCGGTCATTCGCCTGACGTCTTCGATAGAGTAAGGGAGATTTTTACTTTTTAAGAAATGAACCATCCGTACTATTCCAGGATGCCCAATGTCACAATGAATTCTACGGAGTTTTTCGAAATCTCTACAAGAGATGGAAGATGAAACTCGTGAAAATGCATCTGCTACTACGTTTTCCTTGCCAGAACGGTACACTATGTCATAAGAGAAAGGTGCTAGTTCCAATCGCCACTTTAAAATCTTGTTGTTCTTAACCTTTCCCGCGTGTTTCTGATTGAACATATATGACACAGATTTCTGGTCTGTAATTAATTTAAACCGTCTTCCAATCAGGAAATGCCTCCATTTCTGTATTGAATCGAATATTGCGAGGGCCTCTTTTTCCACAGCAGGTAGATGTTGTTCACTCTTAGTTAGGGTTCTTGAAAAGAAACATATTGGCCTTCCAGCTTGTGAAAGGGTAGCCGCTATAGCTGATTCAGATGCATCTGTTTCTACAGTAAATGGAATATTCTCTTCAACTGCAGACATACTGGAGTTCGCTATTTCTTCTTTTAATGTCTTAAAGGCCAATATTTCTTTACTGCCTACTGGGAATGATTTGACTGTAGTAAGGCAATGAACCTTTTCAGAGAATTTAGGAATCCACTTTGCGTAATAGGACAACATGCCAAGAGCTCTTTTAAGGCTTGCATTATCAGTTGGAACGGGGAAATTCAAGAGTGATTGCAGGCGGTCAGGATCAGGACGCATGGACATGTTTTCTACAATGTACCCCAGAACTGGAATGCTGGTCAACGAAAACTTAGATTTTTCTTTGTTCAGGGTAAGATTATACTTTTTAGTTGCTTCCATGAATCTCTGTAGGTTTTGATCGTGTTCTGCTTGGCTACGACCACAAATAGTTACATCGTCCAGATAAGCAAACGTGTCTAGTAGATTTTCATTTTCTATAATCTGATCAATAGTTCTTTGAAAACACGCCACACCATTAGTTACGCCGAAAGGAATTCGAGTGTATTGGTAAAGTCTCCCATTAGCTTCAAATGCAGTGAATGGTTTATCTTCATTCCGAATAGGTATTTGGTGATATGCCTCCTTCAGATCGATTGTACTGAACACTTTGTATTGAGCAAGCTTAGAGACAAATGATTCAATGTGAGGTAGAGGGTAGGCATCAAGCTGTGTGAATTTGTTGATGGTTTGAGAGTAGTCAATACAGAGACGTCTCTTGTGCCCATTGTTGACCACAATCACTTGTGCTCTCCAAGGTGATTTACTCGGTTCAATTATTCCTTCTGATATAAGCCTACTTACTTCACTTTTTATGAACTTACTATCATCTTCAGAGTAGCGGCGGGACTTGATGGCTACAGGCTTGACGTCATTAGTTAGATTATCAAACAGTGGTGGTGGTGATACTTTAGCCCTAAGTAGATTGCAAACATTGAAGGGTGGGCGTTTACCACCGAAATTCAGCTCCACAGCAGAATGTTGCCGAAGGATGTCATGTCCAATTACAACATCGGCACATAAATCAGTTAAGATGAGCAGCTTTGTCAGTGGGTATTCGTGGCCATCGCACACCATGTCAACAATACAGTGGCCAAGAGTTGATGAAACATGACTTGTTGATGCCATCGATATTTCATGCTTTGTTGGGTATTTAGAAATATTGAATCTTTTCACAGTAGCTTCAGATATAAAACTGTCGGAACTCCCAGTATCAATGAGTGCATCTACTGGTTTGCCGTTTAACATCAGTGACACTGTAGCTTTTGAAAGACATTTTTGTGAGGCAGCAACAAGAGAAGAAGACATTGAGTTTATTTTTGTCTTATCACTTTGAGATGTTTTACCCTTAAATGTCCTACTTTGGTTGCGAGAATTGCAAACTGTTGCCCAATGGCCTTTCTTGTCACAAATGTTACAAACTGAGTCTTTGGCAGGACAGTTGGCTCGAGAGTGTCGTGACCGTCCACAAAAGAAACATTTTTCTCTTCTTATCGAGGATAATTGGTGTGAAGACGAATCAGAAGCTGCCTGAGAAACATTTGTATCAGTAACATCAACATCTTTAGGAGTTGACTGAGATATAGAGTTACAAGGGCTTGAAATATATGAAACCGCCTGATTTTCAGCTGATTCCAAGGTAATGGCTTGATTATAAGCTTCTTCAAGAGTCAAAGTTAGATTTTCAAGAAGTCTTTGTCGAATGGACTGTGATATTAGTCCTCGAATGAAAGCGTCTCTTATGTACTCGTTGCGATTTTCATTAGCAGTGACAGATTTAAAGTTGCATGCTTTACTAAGTTCTTTTAGTTTTCGAAGATACTGATCAATATTTTCTCCAGGTTCCTGTCTTCTAGTGGCCAGTTGATGACGTGAATATACCTCATTAGTAGGCTTTATAAAGAGTTTGTCAAGAATAGATATAGCTTCAGTATAAGAATCAGCCTCTGAGATTATTTCATGTATGTTGTAGTCCACAAAATTAGTTAGAAGTTTTAGTAGATCATCTTCTGCAGCACATATTTCTTCCACAAAATTCTTGAAAGTGGTTTTCCAATGTTTCCACTGACGATCAGAATGGGGATCATTAGGGTCTAAAGATAGGCGCTCCGGCTTGAAGAATTTATCCATTTAGATTTCTTGGAATAAACTTGAATAGAAAAGATAGAATACAACTTGTATAGAAGAACTTGTAATAATATAGTTAAAAGATTAAGTTGAATAAATTGTTATGAAAAGAAATGTTTAGAAACCAAATTTATATGGTTTTATTCAACTTAATAGTCAGCTACATTTTACATGAGAGAATTGCACAAAACTGTAAACATTACATACATAAACAAAGCAGTCTTAAATAAAACAGCTGAATAAATATTTGACAGTACAAAAGGAATCATATTACATAACAATATGGGAGGTCTATTAGCTAGGATACAAAAATCTTTAGATCCCCCTCCGCTGTCCACTGTCTCTCAAAACAAAACTCATGCTCCATATTTAATTATTATATCAATTGTCTCACGCAGTAAAAAAGCAATGATTTCTTGATATATGAAATTAATTATTTATGAGATATACATTTGTAAAAAAAATAGAGGTACGGTATACAGAATAAATGACATATAGAATAAATAAACAACATGGTATAAAATTATTTTATTTTACCTGCAGCCGAATGGCATTTTGAAGCTCCTTAGCTTTCTGCCTTTTCCGCTCCCTTTCTAAAAGCTCTTCAGGTTCGATAGAGATATTTTGACCCCTTAAGTATGTCCTGTAACAAAAATTGTAAAGTTGCGAGTTAAGGTGTTTTTACGTTGCTGAAATATGTCTCATCAAATTTGTCTGAACATTATTTTATTGTTATTTTCAGTTAAATGAAATATTGAGAGAATTTTTTATATTTTTTCTCTCTTTAACAATTAGGCAGTTGCAACAGTTGTAAAATGAAACTTACAAAACTCTCGCATAACTAAAATCAAGGAGAATTCAAATCACACACTACAGTACTGTCAAATTGGTACCTGTTTGAAACAATAATAAACCACAATATACCTCACTCTATGGATTAACAGTTACTCAACAGTTATATAATAACAGTTCCTTACCTATCACTGTTGCTGATCGTATCACAGCTTCCGATTTCCGTGACAGGTGAGGATGACTCTGGGTGAGTGATCACGAGCACCTCACTGTTAACATCACAAAACCATTACTGTAGGTATATTGGTGGTCTGTCTTGTGTTTGTATCTCAATATATTTCAAGACGTCCATGAACCTCAATAAAGTCAAACAAAGACCATGGGATGAAATGTACCGTAGAGCCTAGGTTTTGTTAAGGATTCTGTTGTGAGCTTGATTTTCTCAATTCATTTTCTTTGGATAAAAAGCTCAGTCTGTGTAATTCCTTGAATTTTCGTTCAAGTTCCATTTTTGCTTTTTTGATTTCCATTTCCATTTCTTTATCTTAAAAATTCTTGCTTTGATCATTCCTTTTCCCTTCCTCAATCTCTTGTAAATAAATTAGCTTGTAACTCATCTTCAGCTTCTGTTTTTCTTGAGGATCTAATTGATTGGTTTCTCAATGATTTTTCTTTTTCCACTCTGCTCTCTGGTCTTCTTACATTCCTACCTCTCAGGCTCAAAGAATTCATATCATCCATAGGTTGGCTCGTTATTTTTTGCGAAGGATCATTGTCAACACTGCTGTCCCGCCATCAGGAATATCATTCAGTTTGTCCTCCACCACTTCCATACAGGAGGAGGACATCAAGGTTAAAAGTTGGCAGAACGCAGGTTGTTGGTAACTTGAATAGATAAATATTTTTAACAGAAAGCGAAGAGAGAGGTCTAGTTTGGTTGAACAACAGAACTTAATTGATTTGTTTACAAAATCTATCTATATATTAATAGGCAAGCATGTTTCTTTAAAACCTTTTTTCTCAGCTCGTGTGCATCGCAGGAAAAATCTTCGCATACTGCTAGAAAGATATTTTTCTGTAGGTGTGCAGAATCTCTTTAAAAACTAAAATAGGCTCAGAAATAAGCACAAAAATGAATTTGAAATTTGAAAAAAATTAACATGGGCTTTATGGGTTTCCTTGCTGGCGACGAAATAACAACGAAATATAAACAGAAAATCAAAACAAATTGAAGTCAATCAAAACATCCAATCACATGTTTTATTTACAGTATGGGGCGAAAATAGAGAAGTCTGTAAATTACAAATTTTTGGTCGAGTTTCGACCACTGGACGACCTCTAGTATAAATAAATAAAGAACAGCTGAACATATGATATTATATAAACAGCAAGAAAGAGAAATTAATTACGTACAAAAGGTAAATTAAGTGATTATATAATTAGTGGTGACAGGCATGAAAACACACAAAAAACACCAAGCCAACAAAACAAAATTGGAGACAGAGCGAATGATCTGGGTCAATTTCAAGGTTCAATCAGTGAACCTTCATTCAGAATTTTCTTATTTACCATTCAAATAGACATGTCTAACTACGTTAAGAAACAAGTAGTGAAATCAGTTGTTGTTTTATGTACCTGACAGTGTTGTTGGTTGCTCTACACAGCCAAGCTGGAGGGGTGGGTCCTGGCCTGTCAGTCACAGAGGGTAGCCTGGCATCAGGATTGTGTAGGCTGGCGTCCCACAAGTGTCCTACCCCTACTCCCTTGTCTCCCCACCGCGGACGACCTCCTTCCGAGTTCAACGAGTCTGGAGTATTCCTTTAAATTCATTTAACTTTTAGAATTGAGACATCTTTTGTAGTAATATCTATACAAACATTGGTACTTTATTTAAAATCATGAATTATGTTAGGATGTAAGTTATATAGCAGGGCTTAAGTTTTAAGTAATTTTCTGAGGATAGCAGGCTTACCCAAGTTAGTTAAGTTAGTTATATAGTTATAAGTTTAGTTTCATTAAGTTACTAAACCAAACCCCCTTAATTCAGGGGCATAGCTAGGAGTAACCTATGTATGCAAACAAGTGGGCGCTATTCCGCTAAAAATATAGGAATAGGTTTTTCATTGAATGAAAATAGTTAATTTGGAAAAAATATTAAACATTGTAATATGTAGAAAATCTACAGCTGCTGCTCCTAGGAAAAATTCACATATATGTTTATAGAGTTGACTTGTGGTAATTAGAGCAAGGACCTACACACAGTTTGAGGAGTGCCAACCACTTGGCAGACGACTGGAAGGTTTTTGTGAGTTGTTCCACGTAGGTTGGTATTCCTGCCTCTCCCCGGAGTCACTAGCGTAGCCTGATGTTTCCCCCTCCTCTCCTTCGTACCCTGTTTCTTCCTATATGTAAAATTTAAAAAAAATATATTATGAGAAAATTTTCATAAAAGTTCAATTCAAAAATAATGTGAATGTTACTTCTTTAGTATTGATAAAATGCTGTTAGATGGATAGGAGTTTGCATTGAAAACAAATAAAATCTCATCTTCAAAAAGATCAGCAGAAAAAATAGAAAACATGTTATGGTACTCATTTTAAAACTGTATTGTTGCCATTGGTATCATCAGTGAGCCATGCTCCTGGCTCTGTCATCTCTATGCAAAAATGTTTAGTTGGAAAGAAGAGAAGAATCTAATGGTATGGAATCACTTCAATCTCCTGTTTGATACCATATTTGAAGTGAATCAAAAGTCTATTAGTATTATAATTTCATAAATTCTAAGATGAAAAATTTACCATTCCGTTTCAAACTTAGTCGTAAGACTCACTGACCATGACCAGCCAAGAGCACACAATAGACTCGAGGGAGATACTTAGTGTGATCGACTAGTTTCAGCTAAATCTAGGGTGTATTCCACAACAGCCTAATTGGTTCTAGCCGTAACAACTAATCAATGTAATGTAACTAAAAATGCATTTAAAAGTATATTTAAATTTAATACAATACTTAAAAAAATAAAATTTAAGTTCATAAAATAAGTAACTTACTTTTAAAACACTCAAAATCATAATCAGGCCACCTCCTAAATACAAGCAACACTATGTGTACAATACCCGACTGACCGCACAAATGGGGTGGATTGGGTGGCGTTCTAGATTCTTTGCTGATAACACAAAAATTACCAATGTATCCAGGTTACCGCTGACCTCATCGCATGTCTGGTCAAATGACCTTCCATATCCACGCGACTCTCACTTATATTAGCACACTTCCATGATTTAATGGACATATTTTTGTAGTGATTGATTTTTCACACCAACTTATTACCTTTAGTTTTGTTGTAAAAGTATCATAGGTAAACCCTCTTAAATCTAGAACTCCTTTATGGACTTAGCATACTCCAGGAAGCCTTTTTATGCGAGAAAAATATCATACAGCTAACTTAGAAATGTGCCTCGATAAATTAGGCAGTTTTTGCACAGTATACAGTGCTTTGTTTCAATTTCAGAATACACCGTTCAATTTTTTTTTTTTTTTAACGTTTCATTGTACACAAGTGGTATAGAACGGATGAGTATGTTTTGCAACAAAAAGGTCTATAAAAATTACTTTGAAAATACTCTATTAAATACTGTTTGTTTTTTTTTCATTCAAGTAAATTCTGTGAATAGGGGAAAAATTAAATAACCAAAAATCCAAGATACATTAAATACCTTGCTTGAAAGCTTGCTTCATATTTCATAGTTGTATAGTATGTTTTATAGTTCATGTTTATAGTTATATATCTATTTTTATTTTTTATTAGACACACCAAAATTACTTTATTCAACCATATTTTCAAGAGTAATACACAAAATAAGATTGAGAAACACTGATTTATTATTTTTTTAAAATTATTTTACCTATTGGGGACTTGATAAACCAAACAGAATTAGGACAAAGCCCTGTCTTCCATTCTGCCTGGCGGGGTATGGCCCTTGAGGGAACCATTCCAGCATTCGCCTGAGTAAGGTAAGAAACCATACAAACTCACCTCAGAATGGCCGGTCTGATAGTCAGACCTCCCGAATGTGAGGCAGCATAGTTCATGATGCTACCTCACTCGGTCAGATTTATAATTATATAACAAGACACTTAATATTAATACTAAACTAAATTACATACAATACTAAGTATTAACACTTGAAAATACACCTAATACTATATTACATGATATAATACTTAATTTTCACGTTGTTCTTCTAAATTCAAGTGTTGTTCACTGTCATCTTCATCGGCAACTCTTGGTGTTATTTGGTTTCTTTTACTTCTAGCATTCCATCACATAGTCTCTTTCCTCTTCTTCTTGATATTTCTTACAAGTTCTATGATCAATTAATCAATTATTGTTCCTTCTTTGGTTTTCTTTGCACTTGTACTTTAACTCCTTTGTTTAGGCATTTCCTGGTTGAAAATATTTTCTTTGTTGAGTCTCTAATGCATTTTTCTTGTTTTCTTCTTTGATCAGTGCATTTATTTGAGGCATCTTGATTTCTATTGTATTAAACAGCATTTTTTTTAAATTGGCTCATCTTGATACCTTTAAATATATCTACCTATTTTTCCTTTATTAGTATTTTTAGATATCTCAGACTGAACTAACTTTTGGTTTATGAAGATTGAAAAATAAAATTAAATGTTTCTATAGAAACAAAATAATATCAATTGACTGTTGATTGAAGTGTGTTTACACTTTGTGTTTGTTGTGTAATAGCAGTAGCTTTTACCCCACATCGTCGCTTGTAAAACCTCTATATATTTGTAAAGAAATCTATTTCTATAAAATAAAAGAGGAAATATGAATATATGTATATACCCTATTGGCTTAGAAACCGTTTGACAAATTATAATGTAACTTTCAGGCATTATTAAGCATTATTCAAGCATGGTTTGTGTGAAGTTTGGTGCAGATCAGTCAAAAGGGCTCCACCCCAGAGGGTTTTAAGAGGTCCAATGTTGGACTTTTTGAACTACAATGTTTACAAATAAATATAACTTAAAAGGTCTACTTTCACCCTTTCATCAACTGTTTTGTAGGTTTGAATAATCACAACATTCTGTATTAGTCATGATTTGAAATAGTGCCACACTGCTTTCACAGAATGTAGCACAGAAAATTATTTTACTTTTGGATAAGACCAAATATATGAAACCCCAATCGCAGCACACCTGTGCACTCAATAACATTTAAATTCTCCAATATTAAATAAGTAAAGACAAAAAGTAAAAACCTTTATCAAAGTATTATAAACAATAAAAGAGATAGCAATGCCTTAAATTTTTATCTTTTGGTCTATACCCATATAATATTCTATTTTTGTTTTTAGTATACATTTTTATTATTTATCATAAAGAACAAATTACCATTTAAAATAATAGTTGTTAGTGCAGCAACGCGCGTTGGTTAACTGCTAATATTTAATTAAAGTTTTAGAAATAATTTTAAAAGATCCTAGGTATCATATTAAATTTCTTTTAAAATTTTTTGTTGATCTTCCATTTCTATATTTTTACATTTAAATTATGATTCATGAGCGAAGGATTAATAATGTGAAATTGAGAGTCATTAGTAGCATCATTGCAAATATAAAACCAAAAAAATTGTTTCATACAATAATAATTTTTAAAAACATCAAAAAATTGATAGCTATCTATTTCAGCACTGCACCTTTACCTGATAGTTGTGCTTGTAGATTGGCGGAAGACTTGGACTTCTTCTGCGACCAAACTTGTCCTCAATAGCGACTGAGTTGTCACAGCTGACCTCGGCTCTCCTCAACTCGTAAGAAGATACAAATCGAGTTCTAAAAATAAAAATAGCTTTTCTATTAGAACTGCACCAGTCCTGAAATGACCCAAAGTTTAAAGTATTAAGATAACTTTTTACATAATGAATTTTATGTTAAGTTTTTAAAAGAAAATCTATAATTTGAGTACTGTAACAAAAACCTGTTTCCTTCTCAAATCAAAAACCTTTTTCTCCATCAACTTGATCATCTGGATCAAATATTGTTCTGTTTTACTTTTTCACTGAAATAATCCTATGCACACATAATATACTAAATGGTACACGTATGGACTCAAAGTATTTATTTGCACTTTGGGAGTCATGACATAGTTTCATTGTCCAACCATTGCAGCAAATGTACCCAATATGCATGGATGCTATTTTCAACTCTGTGTGTTTTACCAACCCTTACTGTGTGTGCAGCCACTGAAAACTTGTTTTATGAGATGTTTATTTATTCATACGATGGGAAAGGAAAACAATATGACAGTAAATGACCCCTAGAATAGCTAGAACAACTAGAGACATTATGACACAACATTATGAAGACAATAAATTGTAATTTACCTGATTGAAGGCCTGTAGTCATCATACTGCCGGTTAGAGAAACCTCCCCAAAACCAGTTGCCACTCATCTCTTCTGAAATAACAATTATATTTATTTGTAAATCAACAGAGTAGTAAACTTAAAATAATATAAAAATCTGGCTACTGTAGTGCCAAACTAAAATTAACACTGTAAGCCCTAAGTGCTGATATGTTGGTAATCATAACTATCATAACAACAGCATTGTTTTTGTTTATAACTATTTGTGAAAGCATAAATCATTGAATATGGCTGTAAACTGTACCTTGTATGTGGTTCACCTGGCAGGGCCTCTGTAATAAATGAGCCCAGGCCCAGGTGCGCATTGCGCAAGAGATTTTGAGTTTGTTTGGAGTGCAAGAAAGAAAGAAATTCCTCCACTAGGTAGGTGGAAAGGGGCACATAATTATAACTCGAGTCCACAGCCCAGCACATGCAAACCACGTCTGGTAGCTTCTTAGAAACAAAACTAAAACTGCAATGCCTTTTAGAATTAAAAACTAAAATTGGTTGAAAATGTAGTAGGAGGTGCCTTTAAAACCCCTCTAACATAAACTAGTATATAGATCAACCATTTTGATCCTGTACATATTTAATTATGTACCTTTAACTTTAATCTTTACGATTAAATATGAATGTTTATTAAAAATCTTCCTACTTTGTAGATGACTAGCTCCTGTTAAAAGTAATTGAAACGTGAAAACTAGAGTATATTTTTTACAATCATCAAGACGTTAAAGGGTTAAACAAGATAGCAAAGTAAGATTTCCCTTCAGATTTCACTCTTTATCAATAACTAAACAAAACAGATTCTCTTTTCATAGATACTTAAGTTAAAATTCTGATTTTAAATTTATTTTTTGTAATCGGCTAACTTTTATTAATTATATGAAGTCTTTTGGTATATTTAACAAAGTTCAGGGCATGGTACAATATTTAATAATAGTATTTTAGCTCTTTATACAGTTGAACCTCTATAAGACGAATTTCAAGGGGTAGGGGAAAAATTCGTACTATAGAGGTATTCTTAATAAAGAGGGTCGTTTTATCGAGGTTTAATGCTGCTGTTATTCTTCTTATAGAGGTTTCTCCTCGCTCCAAGGTTTCTCCAAACAATGACTGAGGAAGGAGGAGGGATGGGTGGGGGTTTCATGTTGAGACAAGCTTCTGTTTGTTTTGAAAACTACGTACTATGGAGGTTAAGATTATGATAAATTCGTCTTATAGAGGTCACGTTCGTCTTGTAGAGGTTTTGTGCTAAGCATATTCGTTGTATAGAGGTTAATCAGTCCTAGCCCATGTCACAAACAAATTCGTCTTATGGAGGTTTTTAACTTAAATACTACGTTGTATAGAGGTGTTTTTAGCATTGACCTATATGAAAGTGTCAAGGGGATTTAAAAAAATTCGTCTTATCGAGGAATTCGTTTTATCGAGGTTCGTACAAACGAGGTTCAACTGTAATAGATATTTTGACTAGGTAAATCAAAAATATACATATTTCAATGTGTGGTAAATATCTTTGTTAAGTGCTAACTAAGTGAAGGCAAGAAATGCTGATCTTAACTTTGCACTGATAAGTGATAAGCACGTGGTTGAGGTTATCAAGTGTCAAGTGAGAAGTACAGCTTAGTTTTATTATGATACAACAATGAAGCAGTGGTTTAGATAATGGAACCATGTTTCACTAAACTATATCAGAAAGGCATTGGGCTGTTGGAATGGACTTGGGATTTTATATGGTTGTCTGTTAATTGAATCCCACGTTAAATCCCTATTGGAATTAATTTTTTTAATCGTCCAAAAATTTGGTATATTTGTAGTCAATCTAACAATTTTACTGAATAGTAATCAGTACAACAACTTTTAACTTATAGGAGATAAAAAAGCATGTGTTACAGCAAACGGTGCACACTCTAGTTTCATGTTTTAGGCAAAGACGAACACTGCAATGCCAAATTTCACGTGTGAGGTGAATTTGACGAGGTTGATTTGAGCAAGTGCGGAAAATCACTTTTTCCTACAGTTACAATAAAACCAAAAAAAATTAGTAAAAAACGTGACATATTTTTACACAGCGAAGTGAACTTTTAATATGACATTTTAATGATCAACACGATCAACAACAGTACAACAGCTGACCAGCTTATTTACAGCCAGTGCTGCCAACGTATTTCACGCGCATACGACCTTGTCTGCATGTTACGCGTTCACTATTTAGTGCCTTCACGTTGCAAATCTGGAGTGAGACAATGTAATTAGAGTGAGACAATGTTAACATTGTCTCACTGATGAGCAATTGGCAACTTTGCTTTCTCAAATCAGTGAGAGAACATGTACATTGTTAGGTAACTGTAGGAAATAGTTATTTGTGCAACTAGTGAGAAAAGTGAGCAATTGACTCACTCGAGAGAATCCTTACTCACGAGCCGTAGGCGAGTGAGGAATGGTTTCTCGAGTGAGGCAATTGTACTTTGAACTCGAGTTGCACATTATACTTTTCCTACAGTTACCATAAAACAAATAAATTGGTGAAGAAACATAACCTATTTTTACACAGAAGTGAACTTTTAATATAACATTTAATGTGAAGTGACAAATACAACAGTACAACAGCTGACCAGCTGATTTACAGCCAGTGCTGCCAACGTATTTCGCGCGCATACGACGTTGCCTGCATGTTACGCGCTCACTATTTCGTGCCTTCACGTTGCAAATCTGGAGTGAGACAAAGTAATTAGAGTGAGACAATGTTAACATTGTCTCGCTGATGAGCGAATTGGCCACTTTGCTTTCTCAAATCAGTGAGAGAACATGTACATTGTTAGGTAACTGTAGGAAAAATATAATGTGCAACTCGAGTGCAATTGCCTCACTTTGCTCACTAGTTGCACAAATAACTATTTCCTACAGTCACCCGACAAAGTTGGCTTCCTTGTACTGTTTATAGTACAGAAAGATGCTAATTGCTGCATATTTATACTTTGTCGTACGGTTTATACTTTGGCGCACATCAGGATTCCAACGAAACAACACAAAACAGCGTGGTTATATTATGCACGTAATCCGTGTACGCTTGGAAATAGGTTGGTAACACTTAAAGATAATAATATTATGAGCAGCTGATTGACTATTATAACTACGATTTAACCTGTCATTTCGTGTTTATAGTTTTGGTATTTCTGAACTTTCTGGACTTTTCTTTTAAAGGTTTTAAAACATTCCTACGATCTTAATAAACAAGAAAATACCTTTAAAGCATTTTTTTAGGCGCGGAAACCACTTCAAATTACAAAAACATACGGAACTATATTCTCAAGTCGCGAAACACATTTCAGGCCAAGGAAAAATAGCGAATTGATACGGACCGGGTACTACTTTCTTGCTAGGGCACCTATTTGTGTTGCCAGCTGAACCTAAAAACGTGTTGTATAGTGTTTGAGAGACTAATTATTTATATGCTTTATAGTGACTGTAGGAAAAATATAATGTGTAACACGAGTGCAAGTATGCCACTTTGCTCACTAGTTACACAAATAACTATTTGTACTTGTGAGCGATACTTTTCAGCACGAAGCAAAAATAATATAGGCTACAGAATAACAGACCTCAGCAAAATTAAAACTATTTTAGTTCCTAACTAATATTATTTTAATTTTTGAGAAATAGCCTCTGGATCGTTATTATCATTATTAATTATTATTAATCGTTATTAGCCTAGGACTGACATAACGCTCCGGCGTAGAACCCAAGGTCTCCACAATAAATCAATTGGATCGTAAGGTAAGCCTTAGATGATAACAATTATTTTAATATAAAAATAAAACCTATGAAGCCTTCATAACAGTGAAAATTATAAGTTCAAGGTTATGTTCATTGTTCATTAAACGCACTACAAGCTAAAACGCAGCAAAAGAAGCTAATAATACATAGCTTTGTTCACATTGTATTGTTAAACGGTAAAAACAGCTGATTTCAATATATATTGATTGAAAAACTAGCACAGTGGGCAGGTGGAGAACGGATTGGGAACAAACAAAAGTAAATTTAGAGCATGGGGAAATCAGCTGATCGTTTTCTCTTGCTCTAAATTAGAGCTTGGAAACGATTACATTCTTTGATAAAATCAGCTGTAATCGAATAATTATTTGTGCAGGGACGATTTGCCGAAAAGGCACGTACCTAGGGCGCGAGGCGATTGGCTTGTTGGGGGGGGGGTGCCAATAATTGGAAAATAAATTATTTGTTGGTTTATGTATTTGCATGCAATCGCGGTAAGCCTTTGATAATCCCTCGCGACCGTGTTAACCTCATTATCGTCTCCCGTCGCCGTATAGACATCGTAAACCGTTTCCGGCAATTCTACCGCGAACGAAGCAAAATTCTGATCTTTTCCCTCGGTCTAGTGGACATTATCCAAAACAGGTCTTGCGCGATCGCGGTAAAATTCTGATAATCCTGTAGAGATCGTAATCGTATCCCGCGGTCGTGAAGACCGTAACCGCCTGCCGCGATTACGGCAAAACGTTGATCATATCGCGCAGTCGTGTGAAGCTCGTCATCATCGTCGTCCGCGATCGCGGCAAATTCTGACTTTTTCCTGCGGCCGTGTGGACATTATCATTATCTTCCGTGATCGCGGCAATATTCTGATCATCCCTCGCAGGCTCTGTAAGCCTGTTTGATATCATCATCGTCTTCTGCGATCGCGGTAAAATTTGGATCATCCCTCGCGGCTGTTTGTAGACATATTATCGTCTCCCGCAGTTACAGAAACGTCACTGTTGTCATGGGCGATCGCGGTAAATTTAAATTTAACATTAAAGGTAGAAATACAGAATTCACTCATAAATTCCCGTTTAAAAAAAAACTCACGCATAATTCCCGGATTTCCTGGTCGGTGGACACCCTGTTATACAACAGTATTGCGGTACAACAGTAGTGGCGGTTCCAAGGGGGGGGGGCTACAGGGGCTAAAGCCCCCCCCATTGGACCCTGGAAAAATAAGTTTAAACATACATTTCGTCCTTAAAACACGCAATGTTATAAAACAG